TTAAATTTAAAAAAATCAATCATTGACCTTGAACTATAGTTAATTATGTGTCCAATAGAAATGGTGAGGAGTCTATAATGACCATAGCAGACTCACACAAAAGTACCAAGCTGTTAAAGAAATTTACCAAAACTTAATTTAACTCAATTATATTGTCCGTTTATACACCAGATTGTATTGCATTGTAAATTTATATTCCATTTATATCTTTTGAAATTAAAACTAAATCAAATATAAGAGGTAAACCAAAACATCTAAAATCGATATTAGAAATTATCCGTATAAAAACGGCCTGCTTAGTCTGTATTATCGGAGGCATTGAGCCGGCTTGTGCATAGCTCCATTCTATTTCAATAAAAAGAAAAGGAAAGAAAGGGGACAACAAAAGACGGCTATAAAAAAAGACCCCGAGCCTTCGCCGCTCGCGTTGAGTGACTCTTCCACGAATGCTGAAGAGAAAAAATGTCCGCCGAGAGATAAGCCTTTAGCCATCTCCGAATTTATTAACCGCTACCGAAATACCGCCTCATCATTAGCCGTTGCAGCGTACTCATCTGTTTTTTGTTTTTTCCTTCACATTTTATTGTTTTGTTTTTTATTCAATCTGATATTTAATCCTGACTTCTTATATCGTCTGGCAAGATAATGAATACTCCTACCTACGTGGTGGATCCGGTCATAAAACTTCAAAGTAAAAGCTACATGAAGAATAAAAACTCTTTGCCCAATTTTCATTCTTCGCTCATCACACAACATTCACTTACCATCCCACTTTTTGTAAAAATTATTTTATTCATTTTTTATTTTTTTTGTTACCTCTACTCTGCAGAGAACACCTTCAAGTACTGTGTTTTCAAGAATTCTAATGTTTTTAACCTCTTTTTTTGGCTCTTGTTTAAATTTTCTTTCAGGTGTGTTGCCAGATACAACCGTTATAGGGCTAGTATATATTATGTGTGAGTTATAGGGCAGTATTATATTATGTGTTTGACTGTTCTTTGTGCACAAATCTTGGAGGTTTGAAGGACTAGAAAGTCCACTTAATAGATAAACATGTCAAAACTCACAATGATCAATTGTTATTTGGTAGAGGACAATTTCTTTTTTTCAGTAGGATCGGTAAGAAGTTTTCTATATGGAATAGCGGCTTTTTATTTCTTTTAATTTACATTATTTTTGTTCCAAACTATTCTACTATATTTTCCATACTTTCAAAGTTCCGGTGATTTAGTAGTGTGAAAGGAACTCTGACTAACCAACTAAAATGCGTATTTCCTTTGAAAACTCGAAATTTTTCAAGATGGCAATACTTTGTTTTATTACATCAGTGAGTTCATATCAAAGACGTACATTTGTAATTTTGAGAAAATGGAGTAAAAGTAAATTTTTGTTTTATAGGTTTAACTCAAACTGTTTTCTGATGATTTTATTTAAGAATTTTCAAGTTGAATAATGAAAATAAATCATTAGAATTGGTTTAAATAGAAACTGTATTTCAAAAATTGGCTTTTTCACAACTTTTTGAAAATGACATATGTCCTTTGACAAGAGGTTACTCATATAATTCATATACATATATATATGAGCAGTCAAATAAAAGTAATAAAAATCATTTTTCCCGACCGTATGCAATTAAAAAATAACCTCTTAATTAGTAACATTTTTTTTTTTTGACCAGGTATTTTGAAGAAATAGTTGGTTATTTTTTGGAGTACATTCATAAATTGTGTCTTTAGTTTTCAATCGAATACGCTTACACAACTATAAAGTTACACCAAACTAAATAAAGTTTTATGTCGTTTTCGATATTGTAAATTTGGCAGGAAAAATTTATAATAGTGAATCAATAATTAATAAAGTTTGAACTGAAACGATTTCGTTTACTCACAACAGGTTATGTTTGCCTGATATGCTTCCATCTTTATGACGATCATACGGAATTAAAATGTTCTAAATAACGCCTATGAATAGAATTTGAACGTAAATTCATTCTTAAATTCAAAATATTAAAGATGATTAGGCGTAATTATTCCATAAGATCAAATAAGAGATATGACTTATCTTTAGTTAGAAGAAACACATTGTAGAAGAAATACAAATAGCAACTACGTTGGCTGTACTGAATCTGGTCACCGTGGAGCAAAGTTACGGGAATGCCAGTCGATGCGTCATATTTTGTATCAAAACAAAATTGAAGAACAAGTTTATAAATGCTTTTATTTCCGAGTTGTTGTATTTTATGTGATTGGAGTAGTTAGACTCGCGCCTCTGTGAAATGTATATAAGCTGTCGGTAGATGTGGTAACAAAACCTTTCCACTTAATGTAAAATAAAAAATGCAGATGGTTCCACTTGCCTCATTTCTTTATGGTTCTAAATTTTCGAGTAAATTAACGAGAAAATAAGTGACCATTATGATAAGGCATGAAGGTGTTAGCTGTGATTCCTGTTTGAATGGCAATTTTCGTGGTAAAAGATGGAAGTGTTTAGTCTGTTTCGATTACGATTTGTGCTCCGCATGTTATGAAGCCGGAGCTACAAGTATTCGCCATACGACTCAACATCCTATGCAGTGTATTCTTACCAGGTCCGATTTAGAACTTTATTACAGTGGTGAAGCTTTTAACACAGACCAGCCCCAATCATTTACCTGCCCATATTGTGGAAAGTTCGGTTTCTCTGATAGTGCCTTATTGGACCATGTTAATGCAGAACATGCTAATGCTGATCATGAAATTGTTTGCCCTATTTGTGCATCATTACCATATGGTTATCCAAATTTAGTGACTGAAAACTTTGCTGAACATTTGACAGTAGAACACAGAAGCCCAACTAGAGATCTGGCTTCTTTTCTGGATGAAACATCTACAAGACATTCTAACAGAACTACACCGGCTCCTACTTCTCGTAATATAACCACTAGGCCCAGACGTTCAAATCTCAATTTCGCTTCTGGTTCTTTAGCATCGTTGACTCCATCGAGTCCTTCAAGAGATATAGATCCAATAACTGAACTGCTTTCCCAACTGTCAGGTGTCAGAAGAACTCAAGGTTCTGCTGCTTCGCAGTATATGGATTTGCAGATGCAATTTCAACGACAACAAGTGCGAACTACCTCTGGTCAGCAGTTGGTGAGAGTTACTAGACGGTCTCAACAGCATACGACTCCTGCATCAGGTTCTGCAAATTTGACTTCGAATGCTGTTAATAGCGATTCTAGATATAACAATGCTCAGACGTTCTTATTACCTACTTTGTTAGGGAAAAATTTAGAAGAATCTGATTTGAGTGTTCTCGATGAAAAAAGGGCTAATAGAGCTTTATTTGTGCATGATATAATTCTTGGTTGTCTTAAAGAGCCACTTGATTATTTTTATGATATTTTGTCAGTTCTGCCTATAGCTGATAAAAGTGATACAAAAGGAGCTACCGATTCTATAGGTAATGTCAAAGCCATTAAAAAAAGTCTCTAGTTCATTTGCAATGGTTGTAGTAGAGTAAATAGGTTTGATGGGTTGAAAAACAACGGAAAGCCAGAAGTTGTGTTAACGTACTTAAGAAAAGGTAGATTATGGCAATTGATGAATTAAAATGTTTTTCTTTCAAATATATTTTGGTTATTTTTAAGAAATATAATAGTATTGTATTTAATAAGAGTTAGCTTTTGTTCCTAACCATTCTTTATTTCTCATATTTGTATCTTGCTCATTTGAATCAATTATTTTACAAAGGCTTCTAGTACAAATTTATGCATATATCAAGAGCAGGCAATGAAAACCTTGTAACTCCATTTGGTAAATTTTACAAAAAGAAAAAATTGTAACACAAGTTTGTTATTACGATACCTAAATATTTATAGTTAAGAGATATTTCCACACCATCAAGTCTGCATACAGAGCTCTGAGGCTATAGTTAATGTTTAATAGACATATTGAGTTATGAAGTTTTCATTGCAAACTGACTGTAATTTTTAAAAATTTGAACACATTTATAATAAAATTTTATCTTATAGTTTTTGGAGTTTATTAGCATTCAAATCATTGTGTTGATATAGTTTTTTCTAGATTAATCAAAGCCTATTCTTGTGGATCACACACTTTCTGAAATAAGCAATCTATTCAAGTAATGTATTAATTAGTTATCTCTTAACATTGTTTTTTTTTTCAATAATATTACATTATTAAAAAGTAGAAAATAGAGATGCTTTTTATTTATTTTATGAATCTTAAATTACAAAACGACAATAACATTTAAAAAAAAAATAAGATAGTATCTTGATTTTAAAAGTTTATTACAAGGTTAGGTTAAAATTTATATATTATCTAAAATGATAACTTTTTAAGGCTTACTTTAAAATAAGTACTACACAAAATTATATCTCACCATTAAAATAAAATGTATACTTGTCTTCCGTTTTATTATTAACCATGAATGCATCTGCCAACTTAATTTGTTAATACATTCAATACATAACCTTTGAAGTTTTCAGATTTAATAAATTATTTAAAGTTCAAGAAATTGATTTTTAAAAGTTATATATCTTGAGTATATTATAAATACTCTAGACGATTATGATAATTCTGTTCACTGTGTTTTTGTTTGATCAATCTTGAAAAGAATTGTTCTCCCATATATTTTAAATGAGATTTCTATTTAGTTCATATGAAAAAGTTCATTTTCTATACAGTTAATTTAAAAGTGTACATTATTAACTTTTATGAAAAGTCATTTACACATATAAATAACAAAAGTTTCTTTATATCAAAACACGATTAACACACCAATATGTTCATCACTATTGTGTCATACTAAATGATATTGTTTGTAAACACACATAAAAAAAAAAAATTAGTTACAATATTTGTACTGATTGATCGAATCAACCTTAGTTTGACTTTTGATATATCTTTAAAAAACTAGAGCAGGATCTAATAGCTGCCCCTTCTCATCATTATTAAACATTAAATCATTAGGGAAAATTATGAATAATACAATGAAACTGCAAGAAGAAATATATATATATAATTAATGAGATATAAAATACATTATTTCTTATTCGCATTTCATATTTACATAGTAATTCTCATATAAATTTTAAAAATACAAAATTGACACAATAAAACAGGTACAAACATTCATAAATTCAAAATAAAAAAAATTCATTAATGTATCAGAATGTAAGAATTGGTTCGATTCGGGTATCTAAAATATCTGTAAACAAAGAAAGAAAAATGAATTAGGAAAATTGAAAAAAGAAATATTAAATGATTTTTTTTTTCAGTAATAAAATTTAGCTAATGAGTTAGCTTTTAAATTAAAAATCAAATGTACTCAATTCAACATTAAAATTCCTAATACTCTAAATTACTTTATCTTTTTCTAGCTTTGAAATAATAACTATTAATTTTAAAACAATTAAACATGATTAATAATTCTTAAAGGTTTGATAATGTGATCATGGCATTGTAAAGAGACCTTATAATTGAACAGGTTCTAACTAAAGAAAATGCATGAAACAGCTTTTTATTTTAAAATAAATAAAAATACAACTAAAAACTTATAAATGAGTACTTGCATGAAAAAAAAAAAAACAGTAAATGTAAACCACATTGAATTCATGTGATCAAGAATGTATACAAAATTGAGACCGCCATTATCAAGTGATATAAAAATTCAAATTTAGGTAATAACATATTAACAGTAAATCGGAGAAGAGTGGGTGTAGGGCCACCCACGTGTGAAATGTAATCTAGGTACAAATTTGCTATTTCTATATTTTTATGATCAAAATATTTTATTTATAATAAAACACATTTTAAACTAAATCTCACAAACACAGATTATAAAGTGAAAAAAAAAAAGTTGGTAATGTTGGGTTCTGATGATCACCCTCGAGTGAAATAATCGTAACAGTTATCTCAAAGAAAACCACCCTAATGCAAATAATGGAGTCATTAATTTCTATGATGAAGAATAAGAACTGACTAAAAGTACATGTATATGAAAAATCACATAAATTTGAGATTCAACAGAAGTAAAAAAGAACGTTGATTACAAGATTGAGATTAAATTTTTAAAATAATATAAAAAAGTTCATATTAAGCTAAAAACTTGAAATTATGGTGCGTTTTAGAGATGTGCCCCGGATGGAAGTTTTGAAGCTGAAAATACAATTCTAAGTAAAAAATATAAAATAATAACGCTACGAGATGAAATTAATAGAAGTTCCACTTCAGGGTGGAACTTATGTTCTCTGCCATCAATAGAAAGATTTTAAGGAAGTGGCAAAACAAACATAATTAGCTGTTTATCGCTCGATGTTTATAACTATCTTCACTTATCAAAGTTAATCCTGGGCTCCAAAGCATTGAAATGAGGAAAATAGAGGGGAAGACCAAGAGAGACAGGATACGTGGTTCGGCCAGGTAATAACGATGGATGACAACTTTTCAGCAAAGAAAACAGGGGAGGCTAAATCATTGGAGAGGAAGAATTACTTGTGAGGATAACTTCCAAAATATCCTTCAAAGAGAAGCAATCATCAAATAAGAAGAATAACGGTATGAGCTGGTAGTTGGAAGCCCATGACATAGCTGAGTCTCCACTCTCATGACAGCTCAATCCCCACTACTTTTCTTTAACATTAATTATCCTTTGCAAATATGTATCGGAAAACGTCAGGACTTTTTACTTTTTTTTCGTTATAATGTAATCTTCACAGATGAATAAAAATCTTAAATTCCATGCAAGCAAATTTCATATAAAATAAAAAACAAACATTTAAATTTATATATTATTAAACATCAAATAAAATACCTTTAGTAATACTCCACCATGGAAGTGTAATATAAGTAAGAAACGAATTAAGAGGTATGCTCTGGGCTCTTTTGTTTTCTTTCCACATATGGAAAGTTTGCGTGAACCCGCGCATGGTCCATAGGGGATTGATAGCACCATCATCTAGCTCTGAAACAGTTTTACATTCATAAATATTTTAAAAGAAAAGAGAAAATAAAATAAAAAATACTTATAGATCTAATAACAGTTTTCCCATATTATGTTGGCGTATTGAGTTAGTTTTTGTCGAATGAATAATATAAAAAGTTTTTGTTCCTATGCTGTAAAATATTCATAATATTTTTTTAAAAAGTTTAATGATTAAATAAATTCATGTTAATCATGCCAAGTATCACGTACTTCAGATCATTCGGGCAGTCATTCAATTAGCTAACAGACTAAGGAGATCATTGTGTATTAGAGTATTTACTGAATTTCAGAAAGAAAAATTTCAGCTTTTCACATATTATTTTCAGTTCAAGAGATATTAACAATTTGTACAAAGTAGTTCTGCAAGACATTTAACTCGTTAGGGGTGCCTTGCTTTTTTGTTCCATTAGAGGAGTCTCACGAGCATCAGGGTGAGTAAGTTCTTAAACTCATTGATGGAAACCATCGTAGGAATGCATTTCTTTATTATGATAACCTCAGAGATGTTATTTTTAAATTTACTTCACTTATTTATATTCAGTTCATTTTCTATCTGTAATTATTTCTGTTTTACAATTCTACAATTCAGCAGGTAGATATTTTTTAATCTTTCTTAACTTCAAAGGAGTTTTAATCTTCAGCTGGAATTCAACAGGTTGTTCAACTTAAATAGCTGCTGAATTCAGTCAAGTGATGTTGAATCGAAGTAATTAGTAGTGAATTTAAGAACTTCCTTTTATTATCATAATGGATGATTTACTATTGCTGTATATAATAGGGGGCAATGATAAAAATGCTTATAAATTCTCTCCGTGAAACTTTTCCATATAATTAATAAATGAAAACACTTTGCTCTAGCCGAAAAATTAATATATCCAATAATACTTTGAATATCAAAACTGAGTTGATGTACAAACACTTTAATTATTAAATTCAATTTGGAGGACATACTATAATTATTTGAATACGAAAATTGTTACATATTTCACTATCTTCATAGACTTCTCTTGTATATTATACAGGGTAATGTATGTTTCTGTAAAATATACAAGAGAAGTCTATGAAGATAGTGAAATATGTAAAAATTTTCTTATTCAAATAATTATAGTATGTCCTCCAAATTGAATTTAATAATTTAACTGTTTGTATGTAAACTCAGTTTTGATGTTCAAAATATTGTTGGATATATTAATTTTTCAGGCTAGAATCAAGTGTTTTCATTTATTAATTATATGGAAAAGTTTCACTGAAAGGATTGACAGAAACATACATTGCCCTGTTCATTACAGAATGTGACTGATTTGGATCACTCAGATACAGACTTCTGGGCACAGACAGAGGTATGCAAAGCTACCTCCATAAATACCAATAGACAGCCATTGGTACTATCATCTTTGGGGTTGGCAAAAAGGACCAATAGGCCCACTTGCCGGATTAAGTCCCCCCACCAGTACCAGTACATTGCTCTGATACATGGAGAAGTATTTAAAGCCTTCAAAGTAAAAACTAGTTTGCAGCAAGATGTACTCTCACTGATGATGTTCAACTTAGCACAGGAGATAATAAATTCTTGGATATGGAGATGATAAGCTGTCCTTGGAAACAATCAAGAGTACATTAAAAGAAGTGGCACTGCCATCTTAATCCCTCCAGAAGTGAGTTTTCCTCTGGAAAAGGAAATGTCGGATAGTTGGCAGTCCATTTGGAATGTAAGCTAATTAAGAGCTATTGAAAAATCAGTAAGGCTGTGGACCACATCGAACTGTCCTAATCGCAGAGAGTAGGTCGCGATAACTAGGTTAAGAATCAGTCATACAAATTTAACATTCATATCTAATTAGTAAACAACCACCACCAAGATGCAAACACTGCAATAGTTCTCTCCCAGTCAATCATATTTTACAAGAATGCCCTTATTGAACTTCAAGCCTAGATTGATCATCTTTGAGACTGGATATATCAGTAATATTAAACAATAATGAAACAAACATAAAAGCAATATTAAATTTTCTTAAAACCCATAAAATATAGAAATATATTTAAACATTTACTTTTTTTCCCTAAGGACTTACTTAACTCCAGAGAACAACAATAAATGAACTACAGATGTTGATGACTCTAGAGTTTTATGCCTTGAAACCCAAACAAACATTGGTTAGATTGAATCAACAAAGATGCTGCAGAGCTACATGCAGAAAATTGGAAAGCTTTAGCATTTCTCTTTTACAGTGAACAATATAAGAACATATGTCCTATGACCAGAGTCAGTATAACATAAGTTAATTTCATACACCAAAAACATGTAAACACTAAAATAAACTCAAGTTACATTCCATATGGCTATTATGGAAAAGGGGGAGGAGAAAAACATAAAATAAAAACAACTTAAACCAATTTTCAAAGCTTAAAGTCATGCAAGCGATAAATTAAAACAAAAGGAGATAATTTTAATTCACTGGCTAATATTCCTCTCTTTTTTTTTTAATGACTAATTCTTCTATTGTTGGTAATTCCATCTACAACTAATTGTTGCTAATGATGTTACATACCAGTGCATTTCTTACGCAACTCGCGTAATTCACACCAGTACGTAATGACTGTTCCGTCGGCAGCTGTCTTAGACCTCGGCTTTATTACATTTATATCATGTCTCCTTAGTTTTCTCAGAATAGCCAACGTTTCATTAAGAGGCATGCAAGAGTCTACAAAATAAAAGCATTACAGAAGTAAATAATGAAACGACAGTGGGAAGATAATGAGTGACTCTTGGGTATATTTCAACTCTCAAGTGGTACTAATAAAAATAAAATAATTATACATAATGAAAAAAAAAATTAAAACTATTTTTTAATTATAATTATGCATTTTAGACAACGTTTTTCATTAAGAGAAAAAGTTCTTTAAAATGTTAGTGACTAGTTTTATACCTTGAATCCAAAACAAACAAAGGATACTTTAATTTATTTAAAAATAAATCTTGCTTAATATATCTACTATAGTGTTTTGGTGACATCATCTCAAAGCAGAATCTAATTGTAATATATGAGTGTGAGTCAAATATAAACAAGATTTGCATTGAAGTGCCAGAGAGCAGCAATTGGGAAGAAGAGGAAGATGTAAGGATTGGCATTAGATTTATTAAGATATAGACAAACGACAATCAAAACCCTTGTGGGTGTAGCATAAGCCAGGACATTACACAAGAGAAGAGGAAAGGTTTCTCTCTCTCTCTCTCTCTCTCTCTCTCTCTCATCTCTCTATCTCTCTCTCATCTCTCTCTTAATATATATAAGATATTATATATATATAATATATATTACTTTTACAAGAAGCATCTTGGATTGAGTATTATACGAGAAAGAACTGTTTCTTGGTCTGCGAGATCTACTAATTTTTCCCTTCAATTAATTAAAGGTACTCAGTTTATAAAGACTGGATATAAGCGTATGCTAACTTCAGAATTGATCCATGGCTGATGTAACAGAATAAATACCTGCCATAGCTGGACTCAAAACTGGGACTGTAAGAATAGGAGCACTGTGCATGATTCAGCAACTTCATTCCTTTACTAAACCATAAATTGATGGTTATTTCAATCAATTAAAAATTATTAATTTGTTTTGAAATTTATTTTTAGTCATCAAGGTATCAATAGCAATTAATTATCTTTTTTAAATATTCCCGATAGATTAGATCATTAAATGTCGGAAATGGAGATGTGCATATGCTGGGCCATCCACTTGGAAAGGAACATGATGATATAACACCACAAAGTCTAGATTGGAACCTCCAAGGTCAGCGAAGACGCGGACGGCCTAGAGAAATGTGGAGGACTTTAGAGAAAGAAATGTGCAGTGCCGGACAGACCTGGTCTGGAGTCAAGGAGCTGGCTAAAGATCGAGAGGAATGGCAGACCTTCGCGACGGCCATATGTCCTACCTAAGGGATTCTAGCAACTAATAATAAATAAGTAATTTTTCTGAAGCAAAATTTAATACTGAGAAATAACATTTTAATAAATCACAATATATAAAATAACTACAGCAAACATAAATTAAAATATTTTAATTATTAGAGTTCATCATTTAGGCAAATTGTCTTCTTTAATACTTTTGGAACTTCTGAAAACTGCAGACTGAATCACAATTGAAACAATATATATACATATATATATATGATCTTTAAGGCATAAGCTATAGGATTAATACAGGATGTAACATTTTTACAGCACCATAAAATGCTCTTTCTAAAAATATTTATTTTATTTATCAGCCTACCTCCTCTTTTCGGCTATTCAATCCTGGGGCTGCAGGTTAATGCTCCAGGTGCCAGGTATTGGAACATGCTAGCTCGCTTGGTCAACCTACTTCCTAAATTATTTACCTATACTCTTGCAAAATGTGGCCGCTTACATCAACGGATGAGCAACGTCTTACAGTTTTTGAAAATTAAGTTTTGCGTAGAATATTCCAACCGAAAAAGGATGAGTAAACCGTAGAATTCAGACAGTTACACAACACTGAATTGCATGAATTGTATCTGATTAATATAATTGAGATGATTACATTGTGGCGAATCAAATGGGCTTATAAAGTTGTTGGGCTTAGTAACGAAAGAATTTATAAAAGATTAATATTAGCTGTACCGAATGGTAAACGTCCGAGGGGTAGGCCGAAGCAAAGGTTTGAAAATTGCGTTAAAGCCGATCTGAAGGGACTAGGTTTAGACGGCGACCGGTAGAGTGAGGTGTGTAATAAGCGATTGGTGGTGTCGGCATCGAATATTTGGGTTCACTAAGCCTCTTATAATTATTTATACCTTTGTTTGGTATACTGTACTAGTTGGAAGGAACTAGTCTACCTCTGTGACTTAGGGACCATCCGCACACTGTGTCCTCTTTGTTGGTATAAGGACTAATATTACTAAACATGTACCACTCCACAATGGCAACGTTTACAGGTTTGGTTTTCAAGCCCTGGAGTAGGAGCCAGAAAAAAAATATTTTTGAGCTACTTTATTCTTGAATGAGAATCTTTTCCTTCAACATTTTTTTGTGACATTTATAAAAAAGAATGAAATCAGAGGAAGTTTGGATACATACATACAGGATTAGGCTAAGTAAACGATATATGTATTGTTTACATCAAAGTCCAGTAAAAATTAAAATGGAAACTTAAGACTTTTGTAATGATCTAAGTAAATACAATACTTAAATTTTAATATATTCATAACCATAAATCCAGAATTAAATGTTTCTCTCGAATATTAGCTCACAATGTCATGACAGTTATTATAGAAAGACATTTTAAAAAATAGGCACATGTCTCTAAGTTGATGATAAGCAGAAGAAATATATTCATTTGGAATTTTTATTATGGAATAAAAATTATTAAAAAAATCTTGTTTCTATTTGATCCACTCTCATGATCCCTTAACTCGGCATTAAGCTCGTCTCAACTGGATGAAAGGATGCCATCAATGAACTTAGCGCTGAGTTTAGGATCTTGCAGGATGTTGATTAATTTTATCTACTATAATGATATTTCAAATAATCTTCTTGAAGTTCTGATAAGGCTACTAGATACTTTTAATACAGTTTAAAAAGCTTATTTTTCACTACAGCTTTTACGCTAATATAATCTAAGAGGCAGTGTACAAAAAATCAACCCATTATATCAATCTAAAACTTTTCATTACAACTTAATAATATTAAGTCCTACAAGAGTGTCTAGATTTGAATAATTACCACAATAATTGGGAATAATTCAGTCTGACACCATATTCAGAGTATCGGACCACCATTTTCCTCAATTTTATTCTTTGATGGATTGTTTAATTTTATAAGAACTTCAATTTCCTTTGTAAATGCTGGGTATAAATTATGGAATCATTAATGTAACAGATCAAAATTTTATGAATAAGACATGTCTAGATTGCACTTTGTCAAGGTCATTGTACAGCTTGAGCAGTTTTCTAAGATGAACTCACTTTGGTCAAGAACTTGTAAAAAGGTCATGGGAAAAACTGATCCAACAAGTCAAAAATTTTTGACCCAATTATAGCAGCGCTCCTTGTGTTCAGAAAACATACTATTCTTTAAAACATGCTATGTATCCCTCCATTTGTTATTGTCTGTATGAATTTGTTTTTCATATTATCGTACAAATGTTGGGGTGGACTGTGGACATATTATCAAGTTATTTTATTAACTAAAATTGATTAAAGTAAGACCATCTTTGAATGACATTACATTGCTTATTTTTAACATTTTTGTTACTATTGATGATTACTTCTCTAAAAAATGACCATTATCGGTAATTCAAGGCAAAATTTCCAACAAAAAAGTTCATTTGGTGCATAGGCTGATTCCGAATGGAAAAGGAAGTCAAGACCAATTTTGTGTGGTCTCATTTTTATTAAACAAGAAGAAATTGCTCAACAAATGTTCAAGATAATTAAATTCTGAATTCACCATCATAAAGTAGAAAAAATAATTTTGAGAAAACAGTGATTAAATTTACTAAGGTTAATGATAAAAGGTACTTTCAGGAGGTCTAATACAGCCGCTGTACAGAGATATGTTGCCCATGTATGGGTACTGTAACTACAACAGTACAGCGGCCTTATTAGACCTCCTTTTATCATTGACCTTAGTAAATTTAATCACTGTTTTCTCAAAACTATTTTTTCTAATTTATGATGGTGGATTTAGAATTTAATTATCTTGAACATTTGTTGAGCAATTTCTTCTTATTTAATAAAAATGAGACCACACAAAATTGGTCTTAACTTCTTTTCCGTTCAGAATCGGCCTATGCACCAAATGAACCTTTTTGTTGGAAATTTTGTCTAGAATCACCTCCCAGAGTTTGGCCGTTAAGAATTGAGACACCCTGTGGAGGAAAGTTTTTAGGCTTTATTATATTACACTACAACCTACAAGAACAGAGCAGAACCACAAGTTTTAATTAGTCTGGAAAACTGTGAGCAGTTATGGCAGCACAGTTTCCAGTTGTTTTAAGACTACACAGACAATCTTGCCTAAACAGGTAGCAGAGATAACCAGTACATACATATAATGTGGAGAGAAAGAATGGATTATTTTATTAGTGTAAATAACAAAGGCATCAAAGGTATTATCCAAGTTATAACGGAGTGAAATCATGTGGTACTGCTATTTAGCCATATATTTGTTTTTTATTTATTGCAATAGGTCATTAGACCAGATTTATTGCTAATATGTATGAAAAATATTGTTATTCTTAAGGGACCTAGTCCCAGAATAAAGATTATTTTCTATTCTATTCTAAGACCTTAGTACTGATTTCAATTAGGCCTTTCTTGTAAGATCTTGTATTATGGATCTTTCCAAATATGTTTAGTTTGGTATTAATGACTTAAATTTTTTGCACACTGGCTTCCAAACCTAATACTTTACTTGAAGTTCTTAAGTTTATAGAAAAAAAAAATATAAATGCATTAGCTCTAATTTGTGTATATTATAAAAATGGCTCAGAATACATAAGAATATTTGAACTAGTTACTAAGTTATTAGAACTGATAAGATCTAATTAAAACGTAAACTTTTTTGTATTTAGTTTGGCTATAAAAGACATTTAAAACTGTCACCCTTTGGTAAAATAAAAAGCTAAACAGCCAGCAATAATAATAAACATGCAAGAATTCTTTGGGTTATCCAGTTTCTGAATCTTCATTGATGAAGAAATCATAAGGACAGAATTTAAGCGACAAGTCAAAGCATTAAATCTAATTTTGATTTCCAATGCTGCTATTAGAACGTTTGGTAAAACTATCAAGTATGAGTTCCCCACTTATAAAATAAACCAAGTTCAGGAACTTAGCTACAAGTTGCCAAATGCTTTTTGTTGTGTTTCAATGTTTTAATAATATCGAGTGCTTTTTATGAGAGAAAAACAGGTCATCAAATGTAACCTCCTCTACACAAACATAATATATTCTCCTAATGATGATAAACAACAAAAGGGAACAGTAAAGCAATAGTTTACTTGTAAATCATTACGTCTTTAGAAAGATGTCCTAAATTTAAACTATGAAAATATGTTATGCCTCCGGTTGTAAGAATCTATATTGTAAACAACCAACAGAAAACAACTTAGTGAGAATTTTCAACAAATAATATTAATATCAGTCAAAATCGACAAAAACGTTAATGAGATGTTAAAAAACAACAGGTATGTTAATTTCAAACATCAAACAAGAAACAAAAATTTTATGCAAACAACAATGACAATTTAAGAGAGAAGTAAAAAATTGTGACTTATTTGAAGGAAACTTTTAGTCATACTCTGTTATAATACACATCCTCAGTAAGCAATTTGCACTAGTCGCTTAATTCAAAGGGTTGGCATTTCAAAATGGCATCCATTGAAGTAAGGAACCCATTGTGTAAAAATTGTATCTTGTTATGATCATTTGCTTCAAATCATCATGAAACTGTAAACTTGCAGATGCCAAAAATCGTCTGCTGAGGTTGAGGCAGGATGTCACACCTGCAGACAACACACAAAATCCACAGTTTTCCGCAAGATAATGGACTTTTATAAATATTATGGGAACAGTTATTCCTATAATTTTTTTTATTATTAATGACATTGGGTAAATCTCAGGCAGCTAGAAATGTATAATATTTTATATCATTTTTTATTAAATGTATTTCTTTATGATTTAAAATATTTACTACGCTGTCTGCTTTTCACTGCTCAATGACAGTATTTGTTTATTTATATGCAATGTTGCTAGCGTGGTAGGAAAAGCGTTCTTCTGTGAGATTTGTAATCCTCACATTTTATAACAACATAGTATTGTGTTTAACAATTCATGCTTTGTAATTCATTCTATCAATTTCAATTTGAGCTGTGATAGAACTCTTTACTTTAAAAAAAAAAACATGTCTTTATAAATACACAAAATAACCATTTTGGGATTACACCTAAGCAAATATAATAAAAATTGTTATTCATACGAATAATTTACAATTATTATATTTGTTTTAGCAGTTCTCGTATTACTTGCTAATATAAAATCCTAAAATTGTGATTTCTTGTGTTTTCTGTATTAACATATTTTTTAAAGACTATTTTTCCATAACCATTGGATGTAAAAATTTCTATTATTGCTCAAATTGAAACTGATAGAACGCACAACAAGGTAATTTATGATGATTATCTTAGTAAGAATAGTTTTTCGTTGATATTTCCAAAAATGCATTTGATGATAAAACTATAGAATTTGAATTTTGTGTGCTGGTGCTCCCATCCCAAATTTGGCAAAGTTTTTTTGGCATCTAGGTGACATAGAGTTTCATGTTGGCTTGAAACAAATTATCTTCCAAACAAATTAATTCTGTATAAATCAGTAACATAACTTAGCATACACCTGCCCCATATGGAGCTTCACTAATACCACTGACATGATAAATCTACAAGTATTCTAAATAAATGTCTAAGAATTATCAACAATTAACAAAATATTTAAGATGCACTTCACATTAAATATACCTTACAAGGATACATTTACAATATAACCTTAACCTTCTTTCAATCTCAACAAGACTCGTATAAAACATAAGGCACCAAAGCATATTCTGCTCTAAAATAGTTTATATTTTATTTTATTGTAAAGTGCATTGGTTTTTTTTTCCTGTGTTTATTTTTTACCAATAAATTTAATACATTTTCTTTGTAATATATTGTATAAAAATGTATTGTACAAAGGTATACACCTGAAGGAATAGTAAATATCATAGTTGTAAAAATATAAAATAATAAATTATCTTGAAATTATACAATTTTACATATTTGGTTTCTTTCTTTCAATGAGTGCCATTCTGAAATTCTCCTACTTTGGGTTGGTAGATTATTGCAAATTGAATGCTGAGGATGGATATTATAATGGTACATGAGGAAAAGTTTTCTTCAAATATGCCACAAAATTTTGACATGGTTCTTGGACAACAATCAACAGAAAATTTAACTTCAATGAAAATCTCCCCAAAAATCTTGAAAAATAGGCATCAACAATTGTATATTTCCTAAATATAATGCATATAATTTATGTTAATAAACTCAAAGAATAGAAAACCAAAATGGTAGAATGTATAGTAAAATAAAAAAAATATATAATTTTTTTTCTTCAAATGCAATGAAACACTTTGCTATATAAATGCAACACTGCCATGCAAGTGATTATAAAAACAATTCAATATCATTCTCAGTGAATGGTTACACGTAACTACAGAGTCAATACTGCAGTACGACTTACCATCTCTCAGGTCACCAGCTTGTATGTGGGTTACCGACTGGGCAATGTTGTCCAAGCCTTCGTTTTCGCTTCTTGCACGATTTCCTTCATTACTCGGCTTCCTCTGCCAACCCCCTCGCACAAATACGCTCAGATTGGCGCTAGGGTCACTCAGCCGTCTCTACAAATTGAGTTTCAACATATTAAGCTATTTTAGAAGAGTAATAAGGTACATTAAATTATTATTATACATAGAAAGATATTTGCATTGCTTTTAAACTGTTCAACTTACAGCAATGGGTAGGTTTTGCCACATACATCGTATATTGTTCAGAATACTTATACTTCAAGTAAAAAGTTTTGTCTACAGAGAACTTAGCTCTTACAGGGTTGAGGGAGAGCCCCAATTTCTATTGTTAACTGATATTAGGAAAATCCGTATTACAAGCCATAAACGTGCAAGGATCTATATTCAGGGTCAGTTCTTCTCTTTTCAAGTAGGAAAAAAGAATGCTCCTTCTGTGCAAATGGAGAGGATACTTTGGCATCTTTGCTTACTGATTGTGGAATGCTTGAGGATTTGTAGGAAGAGTGAAGTAGAAAAAAACTTTTTTCTTGTCCAAAAATGTCTTCAAACAAGGAGACTTCTTAGTTCAAAATAATTTAGAGAAAAAAATATTGTGATTTATTTAACAACTCTCTATTCGTTTTTATATATTTTCTGGAAAAAAATTAACAACTATGTATTGTTAAAATTAATTAAGATAATTATTTATAGGTATTTTTGGTTATACATTTTTAGTCATACAATATTTCCTAGACACATTTCTTTATCAGATTACCAACAATAAACGCTCATATGCTTATGATCTTCTCCAATTCAAGTCCTCAGTCCCTTCCCTTATCACAAGATTCCGACCTTCTGACCTTTATACCCCATTTCACAGATCTGCTCCTTTCCAAAACTTCTTTGTTGCTCGCTCCGCTAATCTCTGGAATTCCCTCCCTTTGAAAATCCGACATACTCCCTCCTTATCCAACTTTGAAACCCTCCTATTCCAATTTATATTTAAAAAACAGTCAGAAAATGGCTAACTACATGTTAAATTTCAGAGCCTTGGTTTAAAAACTTTCAGACTATAAGGCCTTTAAGGATGCTGACATTGTACGGGTTTTAAAGCAGGGACGACTCCGTTGGGCCGATTATGAGGCTCAAATGAGGTCCCAAGGAAGGTAATGATGGAAGAGTTGTACCGAGCAAGGAGAGCAGGGCAACCCAGAACAAGATGGCTAAATGATGAGGAAGTCTATGAGAGAAACTTGCTGAAAACCAGAAACTGGATTGCTGCAGCACAAGACAGAATCGGATAGCGGGTGGTTGCACTGAATATGTATGTATGTATATCTTCGTCTAAACATGGAATAAAAATTGAACAGAAAATCTACTTCATAAAATAAGAAATACGTGGTTTATTTTGTCTTATAACTAATTTTGTATTTTGCACTTACAGGATTTTGCATTGTGGCTGTAGATATGATGTATATGGCAAAACTTACCCACTGCTGTAAGTTTTACTGAACTGCAGACCCTTTTAATCAGCACTACTACTAAAATATGAGAAAAAACAAATGTAGTAGATGAATAAAAAATGCAAATAATGATGAATATGTTACATATAGATAAAATGTTAAAAAAATAAATATAGGGAATAAATAAAAAGTTATTTAAAATATTTTTAAATTAGGCATATAATAAAAGCATTCAACCCCCAAAATAAAAATAAACAGGACAAGAGACTATCAGAGACTAAAATAAAATTATAAATATCCTATTAAGTTCACTAAAAACTTAAAAAGTTCCACAAGAAATAAAATGATAATACCTAATGTTTACATTATTCATTTATATAATCGGTTAATTGAAAAAGTCACGAATTGCATTTTTTAGGTTAACTTTTAATAATGTTTTTATAAATTTTGACCGTAGTTATCTATATAAAAACATCATAAGTGTATGAAAATGAAACAAATCCTTTTATTTATCATACATCGTTACACTGAGCACACAATTTTCTGATGTCACAAAGAAAACATTCATCAAAGTTTTTAATTATTTGAGGACATGAAATATCACTTTTTTTTCCCCATACCTTCTTCGTCTTTTAGGCTTTACAGGGATTTTTCATGGTGGAGATTAATGCCAGAGTTAAAAGTCCTTCTGGCACCGGGATGCAAATTTGTAATTATTTCATCATATTAGCATATGTTTATCTGGCTGCCAGACAACTGAGGTGCTGGGCACAGGTGTTAACTCACTCAGCCTCATGAAATATCACTTAATGACTTTTTGAAATAAACCAACGATAAGTATATTTGATTGTTTTTAGTATCTGTAACATTTTTTCATGTCTTTGTAGTAAGTGCCTATGGCAACCCATAATTTTTTAACTAAACAACAAACAAATTAACAAAACAAAACTTTAATTTATTAAGTTTTATTAAACACTAGAAATGATCCCAGATTAAAGGGCTTTCTTATTATTTTTCTTTTAAAAGGAAACTACTCTTCTAGTTTTAATAAAAATTACTTTATGTCGATATAGGAACATGTCTTCGGGATCTTCCCAATCTTCATCCCACAGATCTATTGCACAGATTCCAGGCTCGGAAGTTGGCGTCTCAGCTCCGCAACCTAGAAGACAATCAAAATAAACATTGAATGTGTTTCATAGAACTGATTCATATAATTTAGTTTAAGTAAAATCCGAAGTTATTAAGAGTTCACTTATAAATCAAAAAAGTACATTATATTTTAACCATTACTCATTTTATAAGTAAATAAAGTAATTACAACTTTTCCAATAATTTTATATAATGAGTATCAAAATGTCTTAAATATCTAGCCTTGTTTTGAAATTTAAATCCAGTGTTCAATAAATTATTTGCTAACACATCTAGCATGAAGAAGAAAATTAAAGTAAAATATTATCTTATCAGAAAGGAGTGAATGAGAGAAAAAAGATAACTAAGTGAAAGTAAGAAAATCTGTTGCCTGCATCACATAAGCTTCACTATTTCCTCTACTTTTAACAGAAATTATTATTTGATAAAATTAGGCTATGGCAAAAAGTTTTTGAGCAGCAATATTAGAGGGTATTGAAATTTTACTCTGATCTACCTTATGCCGGTTTACATTGCTTTGATTTACCAAATAAATGGTACTCAAACTTTTCTTTGATCAATTTTCAGGAAAATGAATCTAATTCAATTTTCTTTTTTTTTTAGTTTCTTGATGGACATAAGTAAAGATATAAAAACTTTTCTGAAATAGGTAGGAAAGTCGTGTGAGTGGACACAACAGATTTTTTATATCTCATAACTTCGGTTATCTGGTTGCTGGGCAACTCGTGGTGCTGTGTACACGTGTTAGCCCATTTGGCCACACTACCCCCTCTATTCTTATCAATTAATGTTTTCAATAGATTTTTATTTCCTCAAAGACTATAATAATTAGCAATATTATAATTTTTAAATCTAAACATGTGACAAGTACCGCATGGCATCCATAGTCCTTTTGGCAAGAATTATGATTTATCTCGAAAATAATACATTTTGGAGCTTTTAAATACAGGGTCCAATAGTTCTTTTGGAACTATTCTGTTTCTTGATGACAGAGTCAAAATATTTAGAACAATTTATCCCTTTTCGAGTTTGTCAACTTTTGAAACCATCAGAGTTTTGAAACATCTCAATTTTTTTAATGACTTTTATAAAGGATGATCTTGGGAAAGTGACTTTAATAAGTATCAGTAGAAAAAAAGTATTTTTATTCTCAATAATTAAAATGATTTATTTTAAATTTATTTAAATTTTCACCTCTTCAGCATCTTTTCAGTAATAAAATCTGATTTTACAATATATTGTGAATTTTTTCATTTTTCAATATTGTTAATATTCATTTTTATGTTATTATTTGTTTTATAAATGGGCTGTCTATTAGTAAATCCTCTGAAAGAATTTCGTATACATTTTTTTCTCAATATATCTTAAAATCAAATTTTATCACTGAAAAGATGCCTGAAGAGGTGAAAATAAAAAAAAAATCATTTTAATTATTGAGACTAAAAAGACTTTTTTTCTATTGATACTTATTAAAGTCTCTTTCCCAAGATCATCCTTTATAAAAGTCATTAAAAAAATTGAAATGTTTCAAAACTCTGGTGGTTTCAAAAGTTGACAAACTCGAAAAGGGATATATTGTTATAAAGATTTTGACCCTGTCATCAAGAAACAGTATAGTTCCAAAAGAACTATTGGATCCTGTATTTAAAAGCTCAAAAATGTATACTTTTCGAGACAAATCATAATTCTTGCCGAAATCCTCTTAGGTGCTATGGATGCCATGGGATACTTGTCACATGTTTAGATTTAAAAATTACAATATTGCTATTTATCATAGTCTTTGAGGAAATAAAAATCTATTGAAAACATTAATGGATAAGAATAGAGGGGGCGGGGTGGACAAATGCACAGCACCACGAGTTGCCCAGCAACCAGATAACCGAAGTTATGAGATATAAAAAATCTGGTGTGTCCACTCACACAACTTTCCTATCTATTTCAGAAAAGTTTTTATATCTTTACTTATGTCCATCAAGAAACCAAAAAAAAAAATTGAATTAGGCTCATTTTCCTGAAAATTGATCAAAGAAAAGTTTGAGTACGATTTGGATTTGGATAAATTTAAAATAAAGTATTTTGATTATTTAAACTAAAAAGGCCTTTTTTCTAACCACTTTTATTGTATTTGTAGTAAGTTTTTAAGGTTAGAAATTGCAATTCCTCATATCTCCATGAAATTCTCTATCGTTTGATTGTTTAATTAAAATCCATCGCTCCTGAGAGCTGGAAAAGGGATCTGTACTACTTTATGTTTTATATATATATAGTTTAGATATTCATTTGAAAGAACGAAATTATTTCTATTGTTTATGAATTGCGACACGTCTTGAAATCAGTAAAAATATTGAGTAAAGGGTTACCTTTAGGTTTGGTGACTGCCATTTCAGCATGACCTTTCCCTTGGGGACCTTTCATCGTAACAAACTCAACCCTTTGAGATGAGTTATTGAGTAAGCCAAAGGTCATTCGATGAGCCATTTTGCTGCTAAGGCTAGCCTGTATAGATTTTAAAATATGCATAATGTTTTCATAAATTAAATCAACAATTTAGTAAACTATAAATTTGAATAGTAATAGTGGGTACAGTACGGAATGAGCATTTAATCTTTTTATGGAGGGCAGAGGATCTAACTTTTTCTTTTCATATATAACAGTAATTACAAGAACAATAATGCTTTTAAGGTTAAAAATTTTAATTTCAGCTTCCGCATAGAAACAAATTTAGACTAATAAAAAAAATTACTATTCTACTTTTTGAGGCCTGAAAGCTCTCTACCTTGAATCTGCTAATGATACTGTAAATAGGTAGTTCTAGAGACATTTTTTTAAAAATCTATAATAATGATTTTATAGGATAAGATATATAGATAGATAGAAAGTAAACTTTATTCTGGGGGACGTGGTCGTCCATTAGGTCCCTTATGAATAACAGATATGAACAAAAAAAATAAAAACTACATCTGGCCAAAAATTACATTAGTCAATATTAAAGGATATATACAGTATCTTGAGTGAAGTTATATTAAAACAAGTAAAAATAACACCATTTTGAGAAAAAACAAAATAAAAAATAACATTATTTAAATGAAAAGAAAACAAAATAAAATAAGCATGGGTTGATTTTTAAAATTAAAACTCAATCAATTTTAACAACCATTCACCTCAGTCAAAATCTGTTTCGCAATATTTATTTTATTGTATAACGTCATTTTGGGATGTGAGAAGGAATTGGTAATGATGATATTTAAATGAGGACAAGGAAGAGGCATGGCGGATATCAGATGGCAAGGAATTCCAGAAGGCTGTGGATCGGGCAATAAAGGAATATTCAAACGTCTTAGTTCTATGAGAAGGGATATAAAGGTCGGAAACATGGGATCATATTTTTTGGGAGTGGACCACGGGTTTAAACTGTAGGAGACTGTAGATGTAGGAAGGGTGTCTGGTGTTGATTGTTTGGAATAGGAAAGATCCAAGGAAACATTGTCTGCGGAAAGAAGGGAAGAGCCACTTTAACTCGTCGTAAAGGTGGGACACATGAGACCGCCTCGATGTACCAAACACAAATCTTAAGCACGTATACATGAATCGCTTAATGGCATTTAATATAATGACATGAATATTAAAATATGAATGTATAATAGGATAATTAAGGAGCGGAATAGCTCAGTGAGTTAGGCACTAGGCTTCTAAGCTCAAGGCCATGGATCGACCCTGGGGTCATAAGACCCTCCTGGAGCATACCAGCCTCTATAAAGTGGGTAATTAAATAATTAATTAAGAGGGAAAACCTGGCATTTTACGTGAAACAATACATTATAATTAAGTATTGAACCCAAAACCCTTCATGGGTTGTAGTGGTATACATTTTTTTTATTTTTTACCATACTAATTAAAATTCATCTGTTATTATATGTACATTGTTTATCCTATGGTAAAATAAAAAGGAAACCGTCTGGATGTTGGTAAAGAAGTAGCAACTAATAGTACGTTTTCATCAGGGCTAAAAAGAAAAAAACAAAAAAAGTTACGCTATAGTAGGAGTATAAAAATGATATTTAGAATAAATGATATAATTAAAAAATAAAATAAAAGTTAAGGATTAAGAACAACAGTATTATTACAAAAGAAATTAACATGGTAAATTAACGAACCAATATACTGACAATGTAATAATAATGACTAATAAATAAAATAAAATTCTCTGTACTCATATTTATGTCAGTTATTCTATATGCCATATTCTTACAATAGTTAAACCTATTGGTGTAACCTATGTGGTAACATTCATTATTATAGTAACATCTAAAAACCAGAGAAAATTTTTTTTTCTTATTAGGTTTTGTCACAAAACCACTTTTTTAATTTAGTCATATCTTTTATATTCAGAGATATTATTTAAAAGATTTTTGACCAAAGGTAATCAATAAAATTTGCTTCCTTTAATATCATTTTATTAATGTTTTAGCTTCATGAACTATTTTCAAGGGGAGGGGAGAGGGTGAAGTCAATATATAATACTATATGTTATTGTAATGAATTCCTGAATTCTTCCCCCCAACCCCTTCTCAAATGAAAATTACAGTCACCATCTCCGCACCATTAAAATTTTTAAAATGTTTAACATATTTTTAGCTAACACATCAAAATATCATCAACAGTTTTGACTTACTAACTTAATGCATAAGACTATAGCAAATGAACTATTATTTTTTTTTTACAAATAATTTTATATAAAGAAACATAAAACTAAATTTTATTTGTTTAAAATATTAAATAAATTTCATTTACCCTAGCATCATATACATGTTTGAGGGCATCATAACGAATAGATCCAGAAAATAGAACTCCTTGCATTTTTCCATCTCTATCTGAAGCCATCAACTCAACGCACACTAGTTCTCCGTCCCGAACTAGCATTTCGGACATAACCTTTAAAATAAAATAGTTATAACACCTAAACATTTCATTCATAAACCATAATATGTTTCATTCATAAATCATGTTTTTTAATTAATTTATATACCTCATTGAAGTTATCAACCATGAAACATATGTAAGGATAAGTAATCTCTTCTACTTCTCCTTTCGTATCCATCCGCCTCCTTGAAGGTGAAGCGTATACTTTCTGTTGAATTAATAATTTGCATAAATATTTAAAAAAAAAAAAAAAGATGATAGCATAAATATTTTATAATCTGTGGATTTTTTAAATTCGTCAATTATATAAATATATTATGAAATTCAAATCAGCTGCACACATAATATCAGGATAGGGTTTGTTAATTGTTTGAGAGGCAAATGTCTTCAGTGTTGTTAAAGAGCTCAATCAGAAGGCTAGGTTGGACCTCTGTAGGCTCCGACTTTCAAGAATTTCTGAAACTGATATCAAGTTCACTTCTACCCGTGATTATTTTGGTGAAAAATATTACTTAAGAAGCACTTTAATCTCATTTCCATAAAAGTCATCACGATAATTGCAGTCATGGTAGTTACTATCATAACATTATCAGCCACTGTCACGACAGCAACTGTCATGTCCGCTATTATTTTAGCAATTGTCACAACCACTATCATTGTAACAAACCAACTGTCAAATCCACAGGCATATTGTAAACTGTACATTACATCAGCTGTAGCTGTCTTGGCAGTAATGTTGAATTAGGATAATTGACAGAGCCGTCCTGGGGGTGACAGCTGTCATATTATCTTGCTAATTGAATATAATATTATGCATAGTAAAATAATTTATATAATTCATATTAATATAACTATACATCATATGAAGTGTTTGGTTTCAAAACTGGTTACATCCACTTTCAAAAATGCTTCAAAACTAATCAAAAAAGGTTGTATGGAACCACTTTTAATAGGATTGATTTTTGGAAGATCTAGGCGGTTTTGAAACAAACATCTAATTTATCATTTCTGGCATTAAAAACTTATGAATTTTTTTTTTTTTTTTTTGAAGAAAAAGGATGTAAGCAGTTTTGAAACCAAACGCCTCATATATAATAATTTAAGCAAAATACCTAACCTATTTATGATTTTTTAAAAGATTAAGTCTTTAGGGCTCGAAGTTTATGAGCTTCCAGTTCATGCCTTGAACCATTTTTTTTTTTAACATCAAATATCTTCCAATTACTAGTTAGTCTCAACAGATAACTGAAGAAATTTGATTCTAAAATAATTATTGTATATCTTTTCCTGATTTCTTTTGTGCAGTTTTCTCAAATTTTAAAGTTTTGGTTGAACATTATGTATTTTTGTTCTAAGATACAAAGAGAATAATTAAACTCAGTTATAATATTTTTTCATTAATTTATTAAGAGTTCAACTATTATTAATTTCATATGGGGTAATAACTCCATTTTTTACAGTTAGTAATTCATCAATTTATTAAAGTTTCGTATCAGACTGAATTCTTATAAAAATAAATTATTTTGTATCAAATAAATATATCAAACAATGAAAATTATTTACCTGTGAATATCGACGAAGGATCTGTAATTGTTTCGGGGAAGTCCTTGTACAAATAGCTAGAGTTAAAATATACTCAAATTGATGAATTATAAGATTTAAATAAACAGTTTCTTCCCAATCTAATTCAGGATCACCGATTGGTAACCGCTTACTATCCTTTCTATAAACAGCTAGTTCTGTCTGTAAAAATTAATTTTTTACAGTTAAAGTGTTTGACCTTCTTCAGGGCTAAATAAAAACAAGATAACAACAACAACCAATAAGAAAGAGAAAAGAGAACAAATAAGAAGATAAAATAGTATGAAAGTGGAAATGATAAATCAAATATGTACGAGTAAATAATGAAAAATATATATAAATAAGTACTGAGATGCGAATGAAAATTATATAATGAGAGATAAATTAAAATATATAATGGCAAGACATAATAATGCAGTACATATTAAAACTTTACTTCTAATTCTTTTGAGTTATATAAAATTATATTTTTTTCATTATTACTTTATATTTATTTCATTTCTACTGAATATATTATTTTATTATTACTACTTATTTTTCAAAATTATATCACTTAATATTTAATTTCATTACTTGTTACTTTATTTACTTCATTACTTTTTGATATTATGTTATAACACTTCATAACATCCTATATATTTTTTCCCCTTACATATCAAATATTTTTCATTCATTAGTAAATATTATTATTTTATTTTTACTAGTATATATGAATCTAATTTATCAAATACTTTCATACTGTCCATTATTCTCTTATAGTACATTTTTTAAATATTTAGATCATAATATTTTACATAATTATCATGTCTAGCCATTATATAGAGTACTTATCCATTTTAATTTATCTAACATAACTTAATTTTCATTTACTTTTAGTATTTTTTTTACATTATTTAAAAATGAAATATTTGATTCATTGCCATTTCCATACTAAGAATTGAGCCGTAAATACATAAAATAAAGAAAATATATTTTTTCTTTTATAATAATTAATGTTTTCATTTCTATGATGTTTGGTTCATTACAACTTATAACAGCAACGTTAGAAATTTACTTATTTAAACATGCACAAAATAATACACATCTTTCCTCTTAGTAGTAAAAATATTTTTATCACCCATCTTGAGCAATACTACCCAATAATTTATTTTTAAATGAAGGTTTAATTTTTAAAAACGTTTTTGTTTTTAGCAGGATTCTAATTATATTTGTAGACAAGTCAAACTACAGAAAATGATTCTAGTTGTGTTTCGTACTCTTATTTATATTATCTTTTCTATAGAATATTAGTACATATTTTCTAAAGTACTTCCATGTATATTCAAAATAAAATTGTTTTCATTACTAAAAACTCTACATCCATTCATTTTTGAGCAATTTATAACTAACTGCATGCTATCTATTTATAATTCATAATTTTTTTTTATTTGAAGCATAGTTGTTAAAAATTATAAAGACGATTAATATCATATAAAATATTAATTAGCATAAAAATGAAAATATAATTCAAATAAAATTAAACTTAATTATTCTAAATATGCATAATACAAACATTTTAAGCATGAATATGTACAATAATCAAATTTTGGCAAAAGATTTGAAAAGTTGACCACTCAAAAAAATCAGGTTTGAAAAAAAGACTAAAAAAAATTGTTGAATAAATAGTTGACTGTTGATTCATATAAGGGAGATTAGTTAGGGATTGCAGCCATTGAAAAGACAATAACAAATTATATTTATATTCTGTGTGGCGATATTTCAGCCAAGTTTAAGGCCTTCATCAGAGGAAAGAAATTATTTGTTATCTAGTCATTGTTAAGCCTTGATGAAGGCCTGAAACTTAAGGTGAAACATCGGTACAAAGAAAATAAATATAATTTATTTTTGTGTACTTCTAATGACTGCAATCTCCAACCAATTTCTCTTACAGAAAAAAAAATGTATTTAAAAGTAAATCTGGACCAAAGTTCTAACTGTTTCTCCCCAAAACTTTTTACTATCCAATTTTCATCTTAACAAAGCCACAAACCTTGATTCTAAAATAACTAGACCAGAAGTTAATAAATAATATACAGATTACTTCGATTATTAACAAGTTTCATTGTTTAAACTATATTCTTATCATTTACTTTATTTAAATATAATATGATAAATGAATTTTGTGAAATTCACCAGATACAATATAAAATTGCTCTCAATTTAGTTTATAATTTGTTTTTCATTTATGAAATAAGTATTTTAACTGGTAGAATAATCAAAAAGTACAATAGTGACATTATGTAATTGTAAATAGAAATCCCTAAATTAATTTAGAAACATCAAACTACACCTGTTTAAATAAAACAGAAAGTGAAAACAATTTTTAATCTCTAGAAAGTGGAGATTATTTCAATCCCATTCTAAAGCTTATCCCAAACCACTTTGTTATTTAAACAATTCAGTATACATTCGCAAAGTGTATTAGAGCCACTTAACTAGTAATTCAACAGCAAACAGTAATTTTTCGAGATATCTGATCAGTTATTTCAATAAAAATTGATGTAATCCTTTAAATGCAGAATATAATAAAAAAAATTTAAATGGACACAGAACATAATATCAATTAGAAATATAAATCTAATTTCCTTTTTGTAGTTTAAATTGTAGAAATATTTGATAAAGGTAATTAATCTTAATAATTAATTAGATTAATAAATATTTTCAATTAAAATTGGTAATTATAATACTTTAAAAAACATGAAATAAATTAAATTTAAGTCTCAAGAAAAAAATTAAATTTTAATAAATAAAATGGAATTTATAATCAAATTATAAAGTGAAATGTTCGGTTGTAAACACTTGTATAATTGTATTGTTTGGTAAAATATTTACATTGTCTAAATGATGTTCTTATCTACAATGTTCTTATCACATTTCCTTAATCAGAATAATAATATCTATTTATATAGAACATAAATATTATTTATAAATATTTTATGTAATATTAAAATTTAATGAAAACATAAGATATGATACCAATAAAAAAAAAAAAATGTACAAAACATATAATCAATCCTCAAATTTGATAACAAAATATATTTATTTTATATATTAAAAATAATCTATTTATTAAATAGATTTTTTTTTCGAATAGTCATTTTTATAATTTATATAACCTATTTTTATATGATTTAAAATTTATTATGTATATATTTTAATGAATATTATATTTTCTCTAAACAAAATGAAATATTTAAATATATTAACCAATCAATAGTTCCCAAAATATAATAATAGAAATTTATTACGATTTACAAAGAAATTAAAATAATTAAATTCTAGCTTGCAATTGCAGCATAAAAATCATAAAATTTTAAAAAAATAATGAAATAAAATGGGAAAAATAATTGAGTTTTTAAAGTATTTTACAGTTATATAAAAAAAAAATATCATTGGATTTATATCGAAATCGCATTTGAAATTATAAAACTAACATAAAATAAGGATAACATTAGTTTGTAGCACCACTGAGCTAGTTGTGCACATTTATTAAAAATAACATTTAAAATTTGAAATAAATAATTAAAAAACATTGCTTTTTGAAAAGTGTTTATTCATATACAAATATTAAAAATGAATTCTTAAGGTATTATATTTCAGAAAAAATGTTTTTGCCATAGCATAAATAATACTTTGTTATGGAGAATCGACAAAACATTATTAATTTTGATTTGGCTTTGACATATTAGGTTCACAGACTTTAATTTATTACTAATTCTTCATGACTGAGATCAGGTACGAACTTTATTGATACAATATAAGACAACATTAGTTATTAGCATTATAGACCATACTAAAAATTAATTATGAAAAAATATTTGTTCATAGCAAAAAGAAAAGACAAAATGAATTGTTTATCATTAAAATGGCAATAAGTAAAAAATCCAAAAAGTTTTATTACTGGTTTAATTTTAATATTGTTAAATAAAATTTAACAAAAGTATGAGAATTTCGTATTAAATAATACAAGTGTGTAACTGGAACAAAGTTATTTTTATAAATTAATATCGATTTAATTTAAAGTACTATGAACAAAAATAACAGTAATGATAACATTTTAATAAACTTAAGACAGTACTATCGGATGTCATAGCTTAAGTGCTTTTAGAAAAGAAATGAGGTTAGAGAAGATCCACTCCCTCAAAACATAAAAAAATAAAAATTAAGAAAGACATTAAAATGATTTAATAAAAGATAGAAAAACTTTTAACAGAATCAACAAAATTAAGTGAGTGGACCTAATATGTCAAAGTCACATGGAAAATAATAATGACTCATCCATTTTCCATGACAAATTAGAGCAACTTTTATTTGACCCATGTACATTTGTCTCTATATCCTTAAAATTAAGAAAAGTGTGGGTGAATTAACAGCAATATGTTTGATAAATTGATATGTTAATTAAATTAAAATTTTAAATAGTTTATTTACTATAAACAGTTAAATTGAACATTTATTAATTTAATTGGTTTTTGTATAGAGAAGATTTATATTCTATTCTATAGATATATTTGTTTATCCTCGCTCTCCTTCTCTTTATAAAGTTCAAGGTTTAGTATAATAAGAAGTAATGTTTACTGTAAGTCATTTTCAATGTAAATAGATTTCTTAATATTACTAATTCTTTATTTTGTGTATCCAAATAGGTAAATAAATACAAATAAAAAAAAAAGAAATACAAACCTCGAACTTAGGTAAATACTTCGAAGATCCTTTGACATGTTTTTTCCTAACGAAAAATAGCATATCATCCCCATCTATACAATGATCAGCTTGAAATAGAAAATGTCTTACAAAAAGATCAGTCCAATAAGATGATCCCTGTAGCATAACAAATCCAGAATCTAAAACAAAATATTTTAATCATTTCTAGAAAATTTTAATTAGGAAATATAATGGTTTCTTTTAAGGTATCAACAGAAAAAGAAAATATTTCCATGTTGATCACACATCATGTGAATCACATAAATGACAACCAAAAAAAAAAAAAATAAAGTGCAACATATGCAAATAAAATTCTCACCATCTTTCATCAACTGTCTCATTTCTTTTGTCCTCTGGAAGTTTATCTCTTCCAGGAGTAATTCTAAGGCAGATGGGGGATTGAGCAGTGACAGGTTCAACGAAGACAGAGACATTATAATTTAATTCGTTATAAAACATGAGTCACTCGTTTTGTGTAACCTATTGATTATTAAATGCGTGAATCTAAAACCTTCTATAATATTATTATACTGTGAAGGATTCGTGCCTACATTTTGTTTAAAGGAACAGATAGTAAAATCTATGGTGCGAGGGGACCCTTGCTTACCCTACATCTGAGCTCGGGCGTTCGATAAGCTGATAACAGCGACGCTGAGATCAGCGCAGTAGCCCGCCAATCTTAGCGGTGGGGAGGGGAATACGAACTGCATATTTGCAACATCATTAATTTTATTCATTTATATCTTGTAAAACCCATTATTACAAAAACGTTTTAATAATTTTAGTAATAAATAAATTATTATAATTCTTAAGTTATCGAACGAATGCGCAGTTGCAGCTTTTAAAAAAATCAATAATTTTCTAGTTCATTTTCAACTGCAATCAATTGTCTACCCTAACAACACTGCTCACCTTCAAGATAAACAAAGAAACTATTTACATAGTTTTAAAAAACAATATGCTTTGTCTTATTTTTAACATCATATTAGTTAAACGTATTGGTTTAAAAGACAGAATTTTAATAGAAAATGTTATTTTAAATAAATTTATTATAAAATCAACACGTAAAGACGAAAATTTGATTAACTCAAGGTAACTCTTTTTCTCACATTTTAATGTTTCATACAAATTTGTAAATATTTTAATTCAATTACAAATGATATTAGCAGTGCACTGTTAAACTGGTCGTAATTCTTGTTTTATTATTTTTTCAATTTATCTTGAATTTTGGTGTACTTTTATTAATAAGAAATGATTTTATCGAATGTTATGTATTCTCACAATTATAAACTTATTCATTTAAAACATTAGACTAATTGCGTCATTTTACACTTTTGTTATATAACTTATCAATGACTAATACACTATTAATAGTGCTAGTTTTATGTTACGTATTTATTTTAATATATGAGAGTTGATGTTTCAAGTAAAGGGATACTTATAACAGTTTATAAGAAAAATGTATATATAAATATAATTACAACATTAATTATAACAAATAAATGAATATTTATCCTTGTATTTGTGGTTTGTCCACTATGTAAATTCAAATAATAGTTAAAGTTAACCAAGGCCAACATCATTCCAAGTTGTAATTGAAGGTTATTTGAAAGAATTTTAATTAAATTTTCATTGTTCAATTCTATTAGAAATTAACTTCTAATATGACGATAAAGGCGTTTCATAAATAACGGAGGCTTCGTTTCGCCCAGTTTAGAGACGGATCCGATGGCATCGTTGAGTTCAGCGCTGAGTTTAGGCACTTGTCCTATTATGATAAAGTAACATAGTTTTCATGCAAATTGTTTTTTAAATTAGTTTATAGTCTTGACCTTTCTTCATTAATTATTTTCTCCTCATTTCTTGCCCACAGGTTTAATTTATCAAAATAAACGTCTGTAATTTACAATCTTTATCATTTTTATTTAGACGTATCGGGGATACTTTGTTCCTCTTCATAATATAATTTGTCCCAGTTTTGGTTTAGTCTTTGAACAAGTTTTATGCAAAATAAGCTTGTCTCTCCTAGTTCGAGCCCTGAATTACAGTAAATCATTTATCATACCTACAAATTTGAAAATTTTAAATTATTAATTTTGGTGATTTATTTTTACTTTCACTCTCTTATATATGAAATACATAGTAAGAGAAAGTATTATGAAAAATTTCGAATCTGAACTTTTAGCGGAAATACGTTTTGAGACAGTGGCTGATGAAGGAATGTTCTGAAGCACTAGCGGATCCAGGATTTAATTTTTTTTTTTTTTGGGGGGGGGCTTCAGCCAGAAAGATTTTTTTTTCATATACATATAACGATAATTAGAAAAAAAAGAAGAAAGATATTAAATACCTATATGAAATGGTGTTCAAGTGGTTCTTGAAGTCCTGTTAAATGTAATTACATGAACAATAATACTTTAAGAGATAGTTTTTAATATTTTTTTGTGTAAAACATGGTTATATTTTACCATTTTGGGTGGGGCTTCAGCCCAAAAGCCCGCCCGTAGATCCGCCTGTGTTCTGAGGGAAAGGGCGCACTTGCGAATTCCATACACCAAAGGTGTAAAGAAATGTATATGTTAGTTTTTTTCTGTTTCGTCTAGTATTTTGTCAAAAAATGGCGGTCATAATTCCTTAAATGAATAATTGACGTCTATGAACCTAATACAGAACATTTTTGTGCAATTTTTTTGTAAAATCAATTGAATATAGTTTCATAATCATGTAGAGATGGTTGGCCGTGATATAATATGAGAAGGAGTTGATCGGGGGTGCGGTCAAATAAATACTGAATTATACAAATAGTGTTATCAACTGAATGTTTCAACTGCCTCCCGCAGTGCTACATCCTAGGCCCTGATGAAGACCTGCAAAGTGGGTCGAAACGTCGGCAAAAAAATTAAATAATTCTATTTGTATAATACAGTATTTATTTTACCGCACACCCCGATCAAATCCTCTGAATATAGTTTCCATGGAATCAGCGCACTGTAGCAACTTAGTCCGTGATCCAGATCACTTTTTATCAAATTATTAACATCCGCCAGAAACTTCCTAAATAGCTTCATCTCATCGTAATCTAGAAATATTTTATTTAAGAAAATTCTCGAAATTGGGGCGTTTTCAGTATGGAAATCGACAAACATGGTCTATTTAATTAGGTACTATATACTCTTAAATATTCATTTGCTTTCCCCTTGAATCTTAAGATACTTTGAGCACTAAGTTAAGAAAAAAGACGACCTTCAAAAATATTGAGCCCTTTGGCGAGACCTACATTCCCAAATTGTCTAAATAACGAGCTTAAATAGGCCAAACGGCCCAATATTTTTGTAGGCCACCTTTATTCTTTTTAATCGATTTTGTGATCAAATTATCTTACGATCAGGTGGAAAGCAAACGAGTATTTACGAGTTTTTAGTATCTAATTAAATAGACAAAGTTTGCCTCCCTCCAGATTGAAAACGCTGCAATTCGAAATGTTTTCGTAAATAAAATAGCTATAGGTTACTATGAGATGAAGCTATTTACGAAATTTCAGGCGGATGTTAATAATTTGATAAAAAGGGGTCTGTACCAGGGACTATCTACTTTGAGATATACTATTTAGATATTTCGCCAATTAATGAAGAATTTTTAATGTAAATATTCAGACTTTTCACTAGCGGATCCAGGATTTAATTTTTTTTTTGGGGGAGGGGGCGGGGGTGGCTTCAGTCTGAAAGATTTTTTTTCCATAAAAATTACGATAATTACTTTGGAACAAAAGAAAGAAACTAACTATCTATACGAAATGATGTTTAAGTGATTCTTTAAGTCCCTTTAAATGTAATTACACGAACAATAATACTTTGAAAGATAATTTTTTAATATATTTTTCCATAAAACATGGTTATAAAACATGCCCCCTCAAGAAAATTGATTGCTCTTTTCTCAAAAACGGCGCAAATTTAAGTAAAATTATAATAATCGTATTTTATATGTTTTCCTTCTTCCTTGGTTTTCCTCAGTTGAAACCTCACAAGAATATGGTTTCCTCCAAAATTTCATAACCCTGTAATTATTTGACTCTCCCTCAAAAATTTATAGGACACATATACGTCATACAACACTATCTTCATATAAGTAGTTAGTTTCTTTCTTTTACTTTTCAAGTAATTACGTCACTAGCGGATCGAGGATTTAGTTTGGGGGAGGGGGCTTAAGTCCGAAAGCTTTTTTTTTCATATATATGATAATTACTTTGGAAAATAGGAAACACACTAATTACCTAAATGGAATGGTGTTAAAGTGATTCTTGAAGCCCAATTAAATGTAATTACAGGAACAATAATACTTTAAGAGATAATATTTTTTTACTGTAAAAAAAAGTTATATTTTATCATTTTAGGGAGGGGGCCTTTAGCCTCTCTTCCTCCCCCTCCCTTAGATTCGTCTGTGATATTTGTTGTATGTATAAAAAAAAGCTCTCGGGCTGAAGCTCCCTCCAAATTAAACCCTAGATGTACTGGTGTTGGGAAGTAAATACATACTGACATACACAGGCGGATCTATGGGAGGAGTCTTTCGGGCTGAAGCCTCCCCCCAAAATGGTAAAATATAACCATGTTTTATTGAAAATATATTAAAAAATTATCGCTTAAATTATTATTGTTCATGTAATTACATTTAAAAGGACTTAGAGAATCACTTAAACACCATTTCATATAGATAGTAAGTTTCCTTTTTTTTTCCAAAGTAATTATCCTAATTTTTATGAAAAAAAAAAGCTTTCGGGCTGAAGCCCCCCAAAATTAAATCCTGGATCCGCTAGTGCTGACTCACTACCGTTTTACAATACAAATAGAAACTTTTTCACCATCATTATCGAAAGTTGACAGTTATTATTTAAGTTTTTAGCGATATTTTTCAAATACTCCCTTTTTTGTATAAATCTGTTTATTTTATAAAACAACACTGCTACGCTAGGACCTCATGGTTATTTACTTTAAACCGTGCTGTTACCTCCTTCTAGTCTGTTATTGTGTCTCGTGGTAGTTTCTTTCTTGAGTGTTTTATTTTTCCATTATGATGGAAGACATTAACGAAGTTAATGAAGAAGAGATGGACGTCGAGCCAGAACAACAAGAAGAAGGATCTAACAACCCTGGAAGAAAGGTCTATCTGCCTGGACAACCATTGAATGATGGAGAAGAATTGATTCATGATGAGACTGCTTATGTTATGTTACATGATGGGCATGCAGGTATTTAAATTATATCATTGCATTATTAGTCTGAGCACTAATTAGCATTCTTTTTTTTGAATTACAAGATTCCTTCTGTGTTGTAGGAGATTCATGTTTGAGTTTTGATATCATCCCGGATGGTGCTAGTGTCTTCCAAGATCAGTATCCTATCACTTCTTACTTTGCAGCTGGGACCCAGAGCCATGCAGCAAATGCGAACAAACTTTATATTATGAAAGTAAATATTCATCTAAATTTCTTGGAAAATATTTTTTGTACTGAAACAGGAAAAATTTACCCATAACTTTGTATCAACGAATCGCTGAACACTGGGATATATCGTGTTCTGTGGGCATGAGCCTTGTCCAGTGGGCCAAAATCTCTTGTTTGGGATATAAATGTGGTTCACAGAATAGCTGAGGATTGATGTCTTCACAGAATAACTTCCTTTATTTAGATCATGTTATATGACTTAAGCGAACATTCACCTATAATCTTGGTATTAATAAACTTTAATTATATTTCTCCTTTCAACTTCTGCTTACTATGTCCTACTGTACGGGAAGAAAACCTCCAATGGTCCTTTTCGGTGGAGATAGAACCTTTACCAGAGGTTCTGTCACTTCCATCTAATTTCAAAAACCTAGAACTCAGCCATTCTCAAGATTTCACTTATACCATGAACAAGGGATCTTAGTCCACTGGAAGGTACAAGGTGGAATAATATTTGAACAGTGGTACGTTAGAAAATTTTAATCTCAAAGACATGCTCAAATCCAAACATTGACAAATCAATATTTCTTTTCTGATTAAAGTGCTGATTTACTTGTACAGTGGTACATTAGAAAATTTTAATCTCAAAGACATGTTCAAATCCAAACATTGACAAATCAATATTTCTTTTCTGATTAAAGTGCTGATTTACTAATCAGTTAATGGTTGAATATTATATATTGTGATTTCCTTATAAATATGATATTTAATACTGAATCAATCGCACCAGTTATACATAATAAATTTAAAATCAGAGATACACCTTCAATTTTTGAAATAATATACTCTCATATTCTTTTTATCATGAAACTAATATTTTCTATTCAAAATATTGTAGAAGGTGGACATTATAATGTAGTTTATTTAATGGTTAACATTTTATAGTAAATGCATAAACGAGCCTAATTATTCATGTTCATCTACCTGGCCAAATGTCATGTATTAATTAAATGAACTTATTTCTTCCCTATCAATACAAATGAAACCAATAAATTCAAGACTAACATTTTCATTTTAAAATTTTAAATTAGGATGTTTAATGTGAGCGGAGTTGAGTGAGACGACGAGGAGCAGTTTCAATAAAAATTATAAGTAATAATGGTTGGATACTGCCAGTCGCTATGGCTTAGTCAAAGAAACTTACTTCTCAGAGTTATTATTATTAGATTTTTATTTTTAATAAAACTTTATAATTCTAATGTCTCATAACTATCTTCAGGTATCAAACTTGCATAAAACATTGAAAGAGGACGAAGACAGTGAGGAATCTGATGCAGATTCTGAAGACGAAGCAAAAGAAGAACCCATCATGAAACAGTCCTTTATTAAACACAACGGTGTCATCAATAGAGTCAGGGTAGGCTAATCTTTATAAATTTTATTCCATTTAATAATTTGTATTTTAATCATTCTCTATATTCTTCGGTTATTGTAAAACTTTCAGTTCCTATCAATTTATTAATTCCTAAACTTATATCTGATATTTTATTTTTAAAAATGGCAGGTTTCAATTATTCAGATTTGTTTGTGTTTTGTTGGGTCACAGATACATAACAGTATTTATATGCCTTATATAGTCTGGAGGTTGATAAAACAATCCCAGAATTTTTAACAATGAAATGTTCTTGATTTAGTGCCTTCTAAATTTTGTATGCTTGCTATTTTTTATAACTTTTGATCTAAGAAACCATTTATTTATTTATTCATTTTCTTTTGTGGGCATTTCAGATCTTTTAGATATTTTGTTGCCTTAACAAGCCTACTCCGTCTCAGCCTATCTTGCGCTATTTCTTTCCGGTTATCTCCAGGCAGCTCTCTTGTGTTTTTATTAATTCGATTTATCCATCTGCTTTTAGACATTTCTGGTCTTTTGTCTACTATGGAGTTGTTGCGGTTTTACATTTTACACTCAATTCGATCTCTGTTCATATTTCCTTGTTTATCGAGTAGACATGATGATAGAGATAGATAAAAATAGAGCGAATGATATCAGTGTAGTGAATTTTATCATCTAGTCGTATTTAAGTAAAAATGTTTTACTTATTTATTTGTTATATCACTTATTTAATTGTTGAGACTTTGTCCACCGCTTTGACTGCAGCTCGTGAGGTTCCGGTGAGTCATGCGAAGTGTGTATGTGTCGCAAAAGGTGTTATAACTGTTTCTATAAACAGTGTGCTATGGTTTGTGTTTGCCCAAGGAGTTTTGGCATAAGAACAATAGCCAATGAGGTATTACCGAAGAAGTTAAAAGTTATGTAAATATTTATTTATTTTTATTTAAAGTTGCCATTAATTTATTTTTTAGTAGAATTTTATTTGGTTTTATTTTATTTTTGAAGAAAAAATAATTATTTCGTTAGTTCATTTTATACAAGCAGTGCAATAAAGATTGTAATTTTTTTTAGTTTTGGAATTTTTAACTTTTATTTATTTATTAACTAATAGCCCAAATGATATATTCATTGTCGTGTAGAGGCTTCCAAATGGATTACTACAGAACCATTATATTATTATGATAATGTAGAGATGGTTGACCGTTGTATAATATAAGAAGGAGTCGATCGGGGGGTGCGGTCAAATAAATACTAAATTATAAAAATAGTATTATTTAATTAAATAACCACCCCCCCATCTCCCGATCAACTCCTCACATTATATTATTAAATTTAATGTTATAAATATTGTAATTCTTTAAATTTTATAAATTGTAATTACTTTGAAACAAATGTTACAATAATTAAATTTCAGTAAAAATAAGTAAAACCTCTACAATAACTTGTTAAATTTATAAGAATCACAAATAATCAGGATATATAATCTTTGCCAGGAGTGTAATTGTATTAAACTGGAATTCGTCCATTGATGGCTCTAGTTGTTAATGTAATTATTGTTAAATTGAATTATTGGTGCTGTTTCCATTCTTCAAGAGTTGGCTACGATTTTCAACTCACAACAATACTGGTTTCATTTAACATTAATATTGTTGAGTTTTGTGCCTATAAACTACGATTTGCAGACAGCACTAGTTTTCTGTTACTTTTTAAAGAAAACTGTTCCAGAATCACATTGAATCCTTGACATGGCTTATAGTCAGCATGTTCTTGGTAAATCAATGTGCTTTGAGTTGTTTAAAAAAATTAAAAGTGTCAATGTTGACATGAAAAATGTAGAACGTGGGTGTGATCTATTATGAGATGCTAAAAAATGGCGAAACTGTTTACATTGAATTTCATTGACAATAAATGATCGATTTGAATCAAATTTTGTGTGTATAAAAACCAGTATATAAAAAAAGACAACACAAAATTTGTTTTATGATAAGTCACTACCACAAACAGCAAGACCAGTGAAGGTAATGATTGGGACATCCAGTTGGGAAATATTAACTTAGTAGCTTACTCACCAGACATGGTTCTCTCTGACTACTATTTGCTCAGCAATGCTACACTTCTTATGAAAATGGCTTGATGGTGACTGGTTCCCCACAAAACAACAACAATGGCATTCTTAAATTGTTGGAGAGATAGAAAAAACAAATAGCTAAAGAAGACAATATTTTGAATAAAATATGTTTTAACATTTTTATGCAATGAAAGTATATTTTCTATACAAAAATTCCTGTTTCATATTTGCACACAAATTTAACAGTCTACTTCGTACTCATCTCTAAATTTTGTACAATTTATATTGATTACCTAAGAAATTATTAATTAAGGAAACCACTTCAAATATTTGTTTATTTCTTTAATTTTAGGTATCTTTATTAAATGAGTACAAAGTCTACGCTGCCGTTTGGTCGGAAACTGGAAAAGTATCTATTTATGATATTAGACCTCATTTAGAACATCTTGACGCTGGTGCAAAGGAACCTATGAAAGGGAAGAAGGGTGAAAAAGCTTTTCCAGTTTATTCGTTCGATGGCCACACCTCTGAGGGATATGGTATCGATTGGAGTTCTGTTGAAAAAGGTATTAAAAACAATTATATGTTATTAATATCAGTTCATTTAAATGATTAAGATTAATTATATTATTTTCTTAGACTTCATCCATCCCAATTAGATTGAGAGGATAGCCTTTCAGTCTTTGCTAATAGTAATCTAATTCATTCGTTATAGTATATAACTGATAGTTAATTTTATTCAAATAAAATAACATTTTTTTACTAGTTGTTGAATGAGTGACAAATTATGTCCGAAGAGAATATATTATAATATAGAATACTTAATAGTTGACCGTTGTATTATAGAGGAAGGAGATGGTCCGGGGTGGCGGTCATAAATAAACTAAATAGTGGCAAAACTATTTTATTAAAAGCCAACGTTTCGACCCGACTTTGGATTTCTTATTCAGGGCTAGATACAAAAGGATATAGAAAATTTTGGAAGTTACATAACATTTAGATAAAAAATATTAATTAGGTGAATAAACTTGTTGAAATTATAAACAGTAAGTACATTGAAATATTAAGAACAATAAGCTATATAAACAGAGTAAGCTAAGTAAGAAGATCTTGAAGTGAATAGATGGTAACAATGTTGTAGTATAATATATAATATAATGTATGCAATTATGAATATACTCCTACAGATCTACAGGAGAGATTGAAAGAATGGACATAAAGGGATGTGAAGAAAGAAAAGAAAAACAAAAAATAAATAAGTAAATAAAATAAAATAAATAAAAATAGATTTACAGGTGTGTTCTTAAAACTGGGAAAATTTCGAATGGTAGAGTACCCTTGGGGAATAATTATTACCATCTATTCACTTCAAGATCACTTTAAGATCTTCTTACTTAGCTTACTCTGGTTATATTTCTTATTGTTCTTAATATTTCAATCTACTTACTGTTTATAATTTCAATAAGTTTATTCACCTTGTTTATGTTTTTTATCGAAATGTTATGTGACTTCCACAATTTTCTATATCCTTTTGTATCTTGTCCGTTCTATCCCTGAAGAAGACCTCCAAAGGCGAGTCGAAACGTTGTCTTTTAATAAAATAGTTTTGCCAATATTTTATTCTATTTATGACCACCACCCCGGGCCATCTCCTTCCTCTATAATATAATATAGTTAAATAGTTTACATTACTCATATGTAGCACAACCACATGTATGGATCATGTGTTTAAACTGACCATTAGTGTGTATATTATGATTTCTTAAGCGAAAAACTCAACCGATTTTTAAGGTTGATGGTTCAAATTATTGAATGAGATACCGTGAATATTTTGAAACTATTCGAGCTCAAAATACTAAAAAAATATTTTATTAAATTTTAAATATTCTTGACATTTTATTGAGTCTCATGTGTAAGTTCTCGATCAATCGTGATGAACAAAATTGCTAATTCTGAAAAAACAAAAAAAAAATTTATTTAAAAAAATGACTGAAAATAGGCCTATCCTCTCTTAGGAAATGTACTTAGAAACCTTTGAAGGGAAATTGATGACTACAAATATATTTATAATATATAAGCTTAGTGTAGTAGTCGGTTGCCTTCCACTACATACAGCGTCATCTGGCAAGTTGATTTTGTTCAATGCATCGCCACATGTCAACATTTGAAAGAGTTTTATTCAGGGTTGGAATGCACATGACTTCTACACCAAGTTTCAATATTCATAAATGTCAACTTCTATAACAATGCACCAATAGAATTAAGTGAATATATTAGTATGAATAGAGTAACTTCTATGTTATTTTTTAATTAATCATTAATTGAAAAAAAAAAAAAATAGAAGTAGGTCTTAGAAAATCCCAAGATTAAGGAAATTTACTGCTTCTGTGGAAATAAAAAAAAAAGATTTATGGTTTGAAAAAAGTAAATTAATTAAAGAGAATAGAACGCACTAGTGTGTGAGAATTTTCTTTTGCGGGATATTAAAGGATCTTCTAAAGAAATTAAGATTTATGATATAACTGTAATATTCATAGTTGAGTTACTTTTTTTACAGTAAAAATAACAATATTAAAATAAATACTAATGGTTGTTTGTATTCGTTCATCAATTAAGGTTACCTTGCTACTGGTGACTGCAAGAAGAACATACATATTTGGACTCCGACCAATGCGACATGGGAAGTGAGTCAGAAGTCTCTGTCTGGTCACTCAGCATCTGTAGAAGATTTGCAGTGGTCTCCGAATGAGCCTAAAGTCTTAGCATCTTGCTCTGTTGACCGATCGTAAGCTATTTAAACATATTTTTAAATTAAATTTTGTCTGATTATAGGACATCATATATGATAACATTTCTTGTTATTTTTTAACATCGCTTCGACTGCCATGGCCATCAGTGACGATTGTTATTCTTTAAATATAATTCATTAATTTAATGTAGTCAAGTGTATTTTCAATTCTGTTTTTTTTTTTTTATATGGAACAATGTTTTCAATTTTTAGTTAAGATCTTTCTTTACGATATTTGTTATATCGAAACATGTATTGAACAGTAAGATTTGCATTGTCATATGCTTGACAAGTTGGTCGGTAAAGGCCTGAAAGCAGATATAGATTTGGCAATTTGGCATGTCTGATTCTTAGTTTACATGCTTGGTTGTCTTCTTTGTATAAGCAGAGATGGCTAAATGGTAATCGTTTCCACTGTTCATTCCAATTATTTTTCATTTTTCTTGTAATATCTTGCCTCTATTCTTTGATAAACATTGATCAAACATAAAGTGAATCGGAGCTTCTAACAGCTTCTTTTGCTCCTTCACCAGCTCTTTCATCCCCAGTTATGCTTATATGTGAAGGAACCCGTTACAGTATTATTTCCTGATCACCCTAATATAACTTCAAGTTCATGATTTGGATTTTTTTACGCAATTTGTTATTGGTCCTTACATTTTACAATCCTTCAATAGCATTAATGATAAATATAAATTGTCAATATTATTATAAACTAAATCGTTAAAATAATTTAATTTTAGAAAAAATATTGGAAAACGAATCTGTCAATCCTAAGGTAATGTACTTTTTCAAGTTCAAGTTCCCAAGCTACTTAAATTTAGATTGTTAGGGAATTTGAAATCTATAAATGTTTAAAATTGTTGTAGTAGTTGGGTAAGTTTGATTATGTATGTTGTTCAAAGTGTATTTTTGTTGTATTTTTAATTCCTGAAAAGAATTTTACAGTAGTAGATATAGCACTTTACTGCATATAGTAATTCAGGGTCGCAACCAACCTGGAAAAACGGGAAAAATCAGGGAATTTTCAAAACAGGAAGAAGTCAGGGAATTCTTTTAGTACATAAATATTTGTTTCAAATTGGTAATAAATATACAGTGGATATTGTTTATAATGGACCTTGAAGGGGTAAACATTGTCGTTATAAACGGTTGCTATATTCATCCGTCTTTTTATGTGTCTATAAAAGCACTGGTCGTTATATTGAAATAAAAAAAGGGTAATGAATAACAATTAAGCAAATTAAACTTAAAATACATCTTGGGTCAAGATGTGGCTGACAAGTACTCATTCGTTTTACCAGTAGTGCTCCTTAAAAGAGCATTTATTAACCAGAAATGTCACAGTTGATATTATATGGATAATTATTGTGATGTTTATAATAATAAAGGAACTAAATTACTAATGAGATACTACATTAATATTAGAATCTCCCGTAGCTTACTTTATTTTATAATAAGGAAAATCAGAGCTTTATATGTCAAGTATTAACTTTTACCTCCTCTTCTCAGTTTATGGAAGTAAAATAAAAGGAATGCAAATAAATTACTAAAAGTTTAGATTTCTAAAATTAAAAAGTACTAATCAAGCTTAAAAAATGTTTTTTTTTTAAACGTTATATTTATTTTTTAAAAGACTGATTTTTTTTTTTACTCAAATCATTTTGTAGTCAATTTTCTTTCATGTTTAATATATAAATTTAGTTATAAATTATACATTTTAGATATTTTTGTCCCCAAACATATTGATTAGGGAAAACTATCATTAGATATAGAAATTAGCCACCTTCTGGTTGCCACCTTGTAATTCAAACATGGCTGAAAAATTTCTGTAATGAAAAATATTTTACTTATCAAATACTATCTGTGATTAATGTTGACATCACTAATGTAGACCAACATTTCGTTAGATATATAGATTATAATATAATTTTTTGAAAAATTTACAAATGATTTTATTTTACAAATATAAGTTGTGTTTAATCTTAAATCATGTTTCTAAGGATAGCTTTCCGTTTTAGAATATGTTAAAGTGTGAGGTTTGCTTCGATTCCTCTATCCTGTTCTCTCTTTGAATTATTCATTGTAAGGTAGTAGTAATGTTTTATTTACGCTTCAGCTGGGCTGGATACATAAACATGATCAGGCCTTTTGATCTACTGAATAATTTACTAAGTCTGCGCTAAATGCCCAGATTTATTTATCTGCCTTTATAAATTCTAGAACTGTCGACCTTACCACCTCTGTTTAAGATTAATCCTCTCCGACTCTCGACAGCTGTAGTCCGTTTGCTAAGAGAATTCTGCTTCACCCCTTCTACACACTCATCTATCTGCGTTCCCTTAACTCCCTTCCAGAGTTGTCAGTTCGCAGTTCAGAATCTTTTTTATCAAATTATTCATATCTATCTATAACTTCGTGGATAGCTTCATCATATCATAACCAACTACTTTTTTATCTATGAAAATTCTCAGAAATGGTGTGTTTTTTCATTAAATTAATTAATTTAACAAGGTACTAAAAATTAATAAATACCCATTTACTTTCCACTTGAATTATAAGATAATTTGATCACAAAGTCAAGAAAAATATTGGGCCCTTTGGCCTTGACATGTTGGAGTGGAGGTCACGCCAAATGCCACAATATTTTTTAGGCCAATTTTTTTCTTGACTTTGTGATCAAATTATCTTACGATTCAAGTGTAAATGTGATCAAATTATCTTACGATTCAAGTTTAAAGAAATGGGTGTTCATCAGTTTTTAGTACCTCTTTAAATATTCAAAGTTTACCAACCCCCAGATGAAAAATTTCTGATAATTTCTTAAATAAAAAAGTTATAGGTTACGATAAGCCAAAGCCATTGTTGAAGTTTTGGGCGGATGCAAATAATTTGATAAAAAGTGGCCTGTAATGCGGACTAGATCTTCCAACCAGGAATGGTCACGAAAAAGGCAGGAAGAAGTCTCTTATTTTAACAAACAAGTATTTTGCTTCAGTTTTTATAAACTACTGGATAACTAATTTTGACTATTAAAGAAAAGTCTAAATAAGGCCTTTTACTAGTTCAAGTTTCTTGAAATTATTCCTAGAAATTGAATAAGTGTATACTTTCTATACCTTGAATAATTCTATACTTTAAATAGAATAGTTTCTTAAACCAATTCGGGATTGCAGTTAACATATTTTTTTGCCAGGTATGACAGAAAATAAGTCCGTGATAGGTGAGGATGTTGAGACATCGACTGTTTTAACATTCTTGAGTCTTGTGGCACTAATACGAATCTGGCTTGCGGGTGGAGAGTGAAATTTATTTTTTAGCTTACCCAAGGATTTAGAATAGGTTTGGTTGTACATCTAGAATCATTATTGCAAGCTTTAAAAGAATTGCATTTTTAATTTAAACTTCATTATATTTCTGTAGTTAAAATGATATTTGTTATTTATTATTCGAATGATTTTTAGCTAAAGGTCACCAATATTCTTGTCCTTTAATATACTTTTATTATTCCCGATGTTTTGGTTTCAAGAGCCATTTTCAAATATACACTATCACACATTTTCACTACTTAAGCATGGTCAGTACTCTTTTTCAGGGCCATTTCATTGATAAAAAAGGTTCCTTATTAGGTTGACTGATGAGAACCAAAAAAATAAGTAATATCAATGAAATTTTTTTTGAAAAAGAATACTTGATAATAGAAAGACAAATTTAGTTTTGGAAATAAGACAAATGTAATGAAGAGGCATGATAATTAATAATTGAAAATGGCTCTTGAAACCGAGAAACGTTCCTTTGATATATTAAAGAAAAAGAATATTAGTGATCTTTGTCTAAAAATTAATTAAATAATAGTTTGGCACCATACATAACAAATATCACAAGAAAGTTTATTAGTTATTTTGGTTTATTGTTGCGTATTTTAAAAATGTTACTAGTCAGAAATTTTCAGAAAAGTTCGAGAACTAGTGAGATTTTCAATTACTACATTTGATAGATACCATATCCACTATTCATGTATTCTTTTTCCTTTTAACATTTTCAAAGCCTTTAATATAATATTAAACTAAAATCCACACTTTAATTCGAATCAATTTTCAAAGTCCTTCATTTATAGGCTGTTCAGCTTTTAATCTGTAAACAAAATATTTAATAACCTTTTTTTTTAATTTGGTGTCAAATCTTCATTGAAAGTTTGAACTTATAGAATTGAATTTTATGTTATTAACGTTTTACAGGATAAGGATCTGGGATATCAGGCAGCCCGATAAGAGCCAGCTAGCTGTCGAGAAAGCACACAGCTCCGATGTAAATGTCATTTCTTGGAACAAGGAAGTTCCCTTATTGGTATCTGGTGGTGACGATGGTGTCATCAATGTTTGGGATCTTCGTCAATTCAAGGTTTGTTATTAAAAATATTAATAAATTATAGTATAATTATTATTTTAATAAATAATAAAGTTAATTTTTTCTGATACTTAGAAAAATGGAGCTGTAGCAACGTTGAAGCACCACAAAGGACCGGTGACGACGGTAGAATGGTGTCCTGGAGAGAGCTCAGTATTTGCTTCCGGTGGCGAAGATAACCAAATAGCACTCTGGGATTTGGGCGTAGAGAGAGAGGATGAAAACGAAGATCTGAAGGTTAGTTTTAGAACATTAAATTTTGTTTGATTTTTATAATTTAGGAGGCTTTCTCTGTCAGGTCTAGAAATTCCCATTTCTTACCAATTTTTGAAAAATCCTCGACAACTAATGTTAAGTTGACAGTTAGTTTTATTAAGCCTTTTCAGATGGACTACCATACTGCAAAAAAACAATTTCAACGCTCTATAACTCTTTGACAAGAAGCTACATTATCAAAAACATTTCTGAATTTATTTCTAGGCAAAAATAATTCATGTACTATTGCAGTGCGAAGTGTCTGAAAATGGACAAAATACATTTTAATTATATATGTACTTCCCCACTATGGATGAAGAAAAACAATTTTTTTCTTTGTCTTCTTCCTCATTGCCGTTAAGGTATTTTTCCTGGACCAATGATGATGATGGGGATTAATGTCCAAGTTAAAAGCTACACCGACACCGGGATACAAACTCATAATTATTTTATTATAGTATGTTAGGTTATTAGGATACCTCCCCCACCCTTACCCCTGACCCAGGAAAACCCCGTATAGCCTAAATGGCAAGGCGGTTTTCATACGTGTTATCCCAGTCTGGCTCACCACCCTCAAATTATTATTGGCTGTGGGATTGTGTGTATATCCTCCCATAGATATTCATTCTTTCTGTCCAAATATTTTATGGAATACTTTATTTTCAAAAACTTTTAAGATATTGTTTATTCCTTCATGCAACTTGCCAAATGCCTTCATGCAATAAAGAACTCTAAGAAGTATAATAGTTTTGTAAATATAATTTGCAAGTAATTTTTTTAGCAGAAATATAACAAAAGTTTTTTCCAACTTCAAACTAGTTTAAGTTCATTATTTCATCGTCAATTTTTTTTAAAACTTTTTTTGCTCTCCCCTTCCTCGTCTTTTAAGCTACACGATTTTCTCAGACCATGGAGGTGAGGGCTGAGGATTAATGTAAGAGTTAAAAGCGCTCCAGCACCGGGAGACGAACTCGTAAATATTTTATCTTCTATAACTTCAGTTATCAGGCAACACTGCCCCCATTTTCTCTCTCTTCTATTTATTCTGAACCTTTAACCTCTCTATTTCTTCAAAAATATTCATTAGTAGGAAATACAAAATAATTTTTCTTATTTTCAGGAACTGCCGCCACAATTGTTGTTCATCCATCTCGGTCAAACAGACATAAAGGAATTGCATTGGCATCGACAGTACCCAGGCATGATCATCAGCACTGCCAGCTCTGGATTTAATTTTTTCAAAACTATAAGTGTTTGAAATAATTTAATTCACGATTCAATGTTTTAATTATTATGAACCATTGTAAATAACTTGTACAAAAGAACTTTGTAAATATATATGAATTAATTTTTTTAAGAGTTTGAATTGTATGTGTTTACAATTCATAAATGATTTTAAACTATTGTCTAATGATAATACATGTTATTTAATTATTGAAAAGTATTTATTTATTTCATTCCTCAATTTGGAAGGTCATTTTTTCAAACAGAACACCAAAATAATAAAAACATTGAAATTGGACCAATATTAACAAAGATATTGCCTATTGTAAGTTATGTACCTATTATATATAAAATCTTATATATATAAGGAACAACAGTTTATTTACCAATGTATAAATGAAACAGACAACATAATTCATCAGGAGGAACTTTAAAAAAAAAAAATTTTTTAAATCTTCATTTTTAAAGTGTAACATAATTATGTTACAACAACAAATATTTAATACATATATGAAGTGAAAAATTTTATGCAAATGAAAAAAACCCTGATATTTCTTGGATAATTCTACAAATTATTGTCAGTGCTTTCATTCCTGTTCTAGGAAGGGATAATTAGTTATTCTTAAAAACATATACTTCTTCAAAGTTAGTGATAACAAAACGGACACAGTTTTGTTAATAAATCATAACAATTTATTTCTCTAATAAATATAAATAATATAAAAACATTATAACAATTCTTTATCATTAATAAAAACATTTTCTTATAAAATATAAACAGTTCATGTTTAGGCTGCGAGGTCGAAGAATCTGTCGATCATCGAAGCCACTTTATCTGGTGTATACTTGACATATTTCTCTGGATTTTTAGTGAATGGCACATTTGAATACCTGAAATAAAAAAACAAATTTTTTCTATTAACCATTCAATAGTTTTAATTTATTTTTTTAAATTTTCCATAGGTGGTTTATATGATATTAATATTCTAATAATAGCTAATAAATATTTTTGTCTAAAATAATATTGATATTTTCTGACTCCTTTAGGATTGAATGTATTTTTTTAAATTTTTAATAAGTTGTATCATCACTTTCAACACCTTCAGTTTCATTTCTATTAATTTTGTCATGTTTTAATAGCATTTTAAAATATTTTGTATAAAATCAGAGAGAGAGTATTTTTTTATTAAATCATCTTCAAAAGTTAAATTACTTCTAATCAATAGAAATATTGAAGAAGCTCTACTGATCCTACTTAGTAGACATTTTTTAATACTAAAAATTTGACAAGAAGCTAATAACGTATTAGCTTTAAAATTACCTGTCGTAGAATGCATTATATTTTGGAAGAACGTATTCCTTATTGTCTCTCTTCAACGATTCCCTCAATTCGACATCAGGTATTGAATAACCTCTTTGGAGTTTGGAGATATCTTCCATTTCCTTATTGAAACCCTGTGCAGTCAAAATTTATCAGTAAATTAGTAATCATTAACCATTTTAATAAAATGTATATATTTTTTTCCACCATATTTGTCAATCTTTTTTTTACACTTTTCAACTTAAGTATAAATTATAATCATAAAGAAGTAAAAGTAGAAGAATTAACAAAAGAAATCATGATATCAGTGAACAAAACCATTATACAATTTTGAATATGATCAACAGTATAAATGAAAATTTTGACATAAAATATTCTTGTAAAGGTGATTCGATACCTCTCAACATCATATAAGACACACCATTTTTCCTGCCATATCGTCGGCTTATTGCCAAAAGGTCGTTAAGTGATATTTCATAATCTTAACTAACTTTGAACATTTTTTCCTTTATGAAATAGAAAATTGTGCTCTTATTTAAGTATATTTGATGTATGAAAGGGTTTGTTTGTTTCATTTTTGTGTCCTTACAGTGTTTTTGTATCGATAAATAAAGTTCAAAATTCATAAAATAATTTTTAAAAGGTAACCTACATCAAAAATGCACTTAGTGAAGTTGCTTTTTACAATAAACTGACAACATAGCAAACACTAGCTGACCCGTGAGAATACTCCGCACAAACCTAATAATTTTATAATATATTAAAGGAACAACTTACAATCAATAATATTTATTACATATATTTTGTAAGTTGTCTATTTATGAATAGGATTGACATTCGGCCATGGTTTAACCATTACATTTCCTTAAACTTATAATTTAAATATTAGCTTTTTCCTTCATTAGATTATCATAAATTAACAAAAGCTTCTAAACATTGCTTTAAACATCTGATAGCGACAAAATCCTCAAATTCTCAGAGAATTATATAGTTAGTCCAATCAGGAAGTATGTTACTTTATCATTAAAAAAAAATGTAAAGTGTATTTTTAAAATGATAAACTACAAAAATAAAGATCTAATAGTAAATACTATTGTAATCAAAGCATGTTGAAAAAAATTACCAACAATGTTTAAAGGAAGACACATTTATATAAATAAAAATAAAATTAATATTGTCATTAATTAAAAAGAATATGTTTTGAAATTAAAAAATAATTACTAATTGATACATAAAATACTGTACCCCGGAAACAAAGGGCAAATTCCCAATTTGATAAATAACTACCCAGGTGTAACACAATCTTCGTAGTGTTCCAAATAACAAATGTTCAGAGAGCTATAACTCTGCACCAAATTGTCCGAATTTTTTTTTTTTAGGGAATTTAGTAAGCTTTCAAATATGCATATGTATAATGAGTCATACCCAAAATTGAGTTCTTTCAGAGTTATTCCCAAATTAATAATTCATTTGTAACGTCTCGATTCGTTGAGACGGCACCATCTTTGGTTTGAAACCTCCCACTTTTACATTCACTTTTATTTAAGTCCAGGTATAAAATTAGGAATAAAAAAAAGCCGGAAAAGGTATATATATTTGAGAAATAATATCTAAGATAAGATAGTTTTCCATTAAAATTAAACAGAAATTCTGCAATTTCGAAGAAAATAAATACCCTAATACAAATTACCATAGCAGAGAAACCTCTCTGACATCATACTTACAGCGAATTTCTCCTTAATTGTGTTCCGATCTTTATCTTTCATTTTCCCAGGAGCAATAGGGACATCTTCCAAATTGATGATATGACCGAGGACTTTATTCCAACTAGAATAGAAAAAAAAAAGAATAAGAAGTTTAAAAACTGGAACATTAAATTGAAATTTTTATTTTAATTTAATTTGACTGATTGCTCATACAAAACATATTACTCATGGAGAAGAATAAATGAATTACCATGTCTGGTATGCCTTCTTGTGGGCATGTATCATGTCGAGGTACGTCGCTTGGCAGTCAGGCTCACAGATCTGTACCAAAGACAGAAGCTGGGACCTTTGGAGTGCTTTGAGAACGTGGTGGCAATTGTTCAGCCTAAACAAAGACCTCACTCCAGGCTCGGGGTAGCTTTCTGATTTGGATACCAGGGTGCAGTTCAGCTGCGATACTACTTTCTCTATAATAACATATCATGTATACATTAAAATAAACTCCATCTCATGTATAATAATAAAAGGCTTTTTGGATTGCCCTACTTGAGATAGTTAATATATTGATTCCCGATGGATAATTATATTTAATACGACCACAATTTTTTAAAGAATCGACATTAGTCTTTTACTTTCCAACCACTAATAGATAAGCAAATTAATATAATCAGAAAAAATTGTCGATGAACAGCTTTCAACAGATCTGTGGGTTTCAAAACACCCTGAATCCAAAATAAAGAATATTGAAAAATGAAAGAAATCTCTTCACAAAAATATTTAAGATAAAATTAATGTAATCTTTCCTAATGAATTAATATGTAAAGGAACTAATTATGAAATAATTAACAATTAATATGAGGAGTTAATCGGGGGTGGGAGGAGGGGGGGGGGTGCGGTCAAATAAATACTAAATTAAAATATAGTAATTATTTAATTTTTGCCGACGTTTCGACCCACTTTGCAGATCGTCTTCAGGGCGTAGGATGTAGCACTGCGGGAGGCAGTTGAAACACAGAGCTATATCCTACGCCCTGAAGACGACCTGCAAAGTGGGTCGAAACGTCGGCAAAAATTAAATAATTACTATATTTTAATTTAGTATTTATTTGACCACACCTTCCCCCCTCCCCCCGATTAACTCCTTCTCATTAACAATTAATGTTGATATAGCTTCCTCATTATTTTTATTGAGTAAATTAGGAAAAACAAATTGAAAGTATTAACTAGTTATTTTGAAAAGTTTCAAAAAATTATTACTACATTTTACTAAGATTATAATTTAAAAAAAAATGTAAATCAGAATATTACAACAAAAAATGTCTAATAAATAAATCTTGTTAACTTAAAAACTTATAAAACAGCAATTATATTCTTAAAAATTACATTGATTTGAATTTTTAAATGAAATTTGATAAAATTGATATTAAACCATTTAAACACTATTTTCCCAACTTTCCCCCTTTTTTTAGGACCATATCAAACAAGATTTTTGAAATATAAGCATTTAATTGAAGCAAAAGTAGTGGATGGAATTTGATAAACATTTGATTATTTTTTCATCAATTCTGAACAAACAACGCTTCAACTTTAGACCAAATTGAAAGAGCCATTTTTGAAATATAGACCTATCAAGGAAAATATGTTTGTCCATAAGTAAGCAAAAGTATTGGAAGGAATTCAATAAAATAGATACATCATTTTTATATTTTTTTTTAATCCCCTACTTTTCTCAGCTTAGAGTCAAATCGGACAAGCTATAAATGAAATATAGGTGTATCAAGGATATACATTAGCACAAAGGTAAGAGAAAATAGAGAACGGAATCGGATGAAACCAATGAAAAATTGGATTTACTGTAGGTGTTATGTCTGTCATTTGGATTTTACAACAGACCAACAGAGTACCAAATTAGTTCCTTTATGTCTAAAATGCATTTTTCTAGGGGAAAGTTTTGATTCTGAGTTCTAAATTTTTTTTTAATCTCTCATTTATCAAGCATGAAAAAAAATATAAATATATACAGAGATTATATTTACTTATTATTTAGTAATATAACTTACTGATGTAAATCCCTAAAAGGGCAGCATTAGTGTCTTGAGGTTTGGGCGTTATCTGCGACAGATCCCGTATATATGCAGATTCTCCGCCAAGCACTCGTCCAAGAGTGTCTTTGTAGTCAATAAGGTGTGAAAGAAGAACGAGCATATTTGAAGTGAGTTCGTGAACGGTTCCGTCTTTTGGAAGCCCTCCGGAATTACTCTCACTTCTCAAACTTTCCACTACTTCTTCGAGCCCTTTGCATGCCTAAAAAATGTTAACAGAAAATAGTTCGTGAAAATTGGAGAAAATTAAAACAAACTACATTCTTTGATATTAAAAATTAATTTAATAAAAACTTACAGTTGTCTGAAGAATACTAAGGATGGAAGAAAACTGAGATCGAACATTGAAATCGCAAGCCTCTGTAGTTTTTTCAAATTCGGGCTGGATAGCAATCAAGTTCTTCAGAATTGCCAATATGACAAGAACAGACCCAAATTCATGACGAGATATGCACCTCTTTGCTCTCATTGCTATGTTCTAAAAGTTATAATAAAAATAAATTATAAAATAGCATTATGTATATAGAAAATAAAATAATAATTAAGATTATAATATTGAAATATATGTGCAAAGGTTTTGGAGGACCATGTTTGGTGTTAGTACATGTATTTTTATTGATTTCACTAAATGCATTTAGCCCTGGAGCCAGGACCCAAAAATCGACCTCATTGTAGGCAAAGGTTTGATTGTAAATTACGAAAGTGTATGTTCTTCTGAGTTAAAAAAATGTGGTCTGCCGTTCCAGAGCCTCTGCTTTGAAAAATAGTTGCTCATTTAAAGAATATTAGGCCAGTAATTTGAGGATCGAAACGAGAAATTCTTTGCTAAAAGTTTTTATTTTTTTTAAATGTATATATATATGAGTTTAGACATGTAAAAAACAAAATTGCTAATGTGAGCCACCAAGGGAAAAGTTTTTACAGCCAAAAAAGTCTGATTTTTCAATATTTTTTTGTTTTTTCACCTATAACTTCTAAACGAGGCATCAAAGCAAAAAATGTACCCTTTATTAAATTAAAGAAAGTTAAATTGTGTGTTGAACAAGTGCATAAACTTAATGATTTGATTACGTGGTAAGGTATATAACTAAGGTCAACCAACGCTGATTTTTATGAAATCTGTCAAAAAGTAAGACAAATTACTATAAATGGCCTTGCAACTTGGAAATGAGTTCCTTAAGAGGAAAAAATCATAGAATCAGTTTTTTTTTTTTTTTTTTTGGGGTCCTCCCCTTCCTCGCCTTTAAGGCTATACGGGGTTCTCCCGGGCCAGGGAGTGTGGGCGGGGATTTAAAAGACTCCCCCGGAACCGGGACGCGAACTCGTGTCTATTTTTATATCTTTGATTCATATATCAGGTTGCTGGGCAACGGCGGTGCTGTCCACACTCGTTAGCCCATTCGGCCACCCCGCCCATACATAGAATCAAAGTTATAGAGCATCACATTTTGCATTAAATAAACAAATTTCTCAGAATAACTTACACTTTCGAAATTTACAAACAAACTTTCGCTGCGATGAGGTCGTTTTTTGGGTCCTAGCTCCAGGGCTAATAATAGCCCAAAGGTCCATGGTATAGACCTCATTTTTATAAAATTGTTAACACTCATCTAAAACTTTGTGAATGGCTTCATTTTATCGTAACTAACAACTTTTTAATTTGAGAAAATTCTCAGAAAAGAGCCTCATTTCTGAGAATTTTTTCAGATAGAAAAGTTGTATGTTACGATAAAATGAAGCGACTCAGGAAGTTTTAGAGTAGTCTTAATAATTTGATAAAAATAGCTCTGAACCGCAGACTAAAAGAAGAAACCTGCACCCCTTCTTTAAAGATAATGCGTTTTTACCAATTTAACATGAAGGATTCTAAGGAAGAGGGAAGTGTCCAACTTCTTGGTAAGGTTATAATTTATCGTTAACAAACAATACAAATTTGACAAAATCTCATGTATGAATCACAGGCAAGCGACTTTAAAGAGTACTTATGAAATAATATTATTAATTTTTTAAGTTCATTAATGTACTACATTCAAATTTTCAGTTTTTGATTTAATCAAATAAAAAGTAAATTGAAGACTAATAATACCTCTCCATTCTGAACGATGGTGTCAACAGATTCTTGAACCACTGACTGAAAAACTGAATTATGATGCTGAGCTGGAATAACTTGCGACATTAAAGATCTTTCTGCTTGCATGAGCCGCTGTACGGCTATCACGCACATCAGATATCCTTCCATTTCTTGCTCATCAATAACGTCCTCTCTGTTTTCTAATAAACATGAATAGATAATAATAAACATCTTAAGGTAGTATATAATTCTTAATATCACACAGGAAGTAAACTTGTATTTGCAAACATTGCGGAAGGAATACTATGATATTAGATCAACATGAAAAATATATTTAAATCAATTTAATGATAAAAGATTTCTTTTTTTTTTTTATAAATATAATTCTTTGTATACCATGTTTGTATATCTCAGATATAAATAAAAAATACCTAAATGTATCACTGTTCCTCGTCTTCCTCCAATAGCAAGTCCTGTAGAATTTTCAATAGTTTGTGATGCTTTAAGAAGCATTTTGTTGGCTTTCTTCTCAAACCTGTTACAAAAAAAGATCATGAAAATATTTTTTAAATTTTTTTTAAAATTTGAATTTACAGTTTTGAAAAACTTACACAGCTTGAAGCCTCTTTGAAGCACTCCTTCCAGGTGTTTCATGTTTTGGAAATTTAGGTCGCTGAAATAGTAATGATCAGATCAGATATACTAAATAACGGAAATTTATTAAACCTTCAAGCTTAATGTATTAAACATATTGATGAGATGGACTCATATTAATTTTTACTTTTTTATCTCTAATTTAAATTTATATAATAATTAGAATGTATTTTGTAATGGTCCGTGAAGAACTTTACCCTCTCCATAATCCTTCTCCACTCCATACTATCCTCGAAAGGGTTTGAAATCGATAATTAGTTTTTCCACAAAATCATGTAATAATTATTATATTTAATTTTTAATTTAAAAATTATAAAATTATACATGATTTATAAATAAAAATTTAAATTGATCTTTGAAAGTTCATTGATTGGATTAAAAATAATGATCGCTCACTGAGTGATATGGTATTACATAAATAATAATGACTAGGCCCTTGCGAAAAATTCGCACAGTGTATTGTTAAGTGATCAAATGCAAAATTAATAATAAAATAAAATAATGCAACGCATCAAACAATAAAGAAATCAATTGTTACTTTATCGGTAAATATAATCGACAAAGGATACAAAAATTAATTTACAACTTCATTAATGTTTGGAACCGTGTGTAATATTTTAAGGGAAAAGTGTGTAATATTTTAGTTATTCGCAAATAGTTTCATTTCTCTCAAAAGTTGTTTGCCTGAATTTTCGGGATGATTGGACTATTTCGTCAGCCTGAAGGAGAAGGAAGCCTTCAAAATTGGTGGCTCAATCTTGAGATTTGGTGAAGAATTAATGATGATATGGCTTGCCGATCAAAAACACCATCGATAAATAATATAAACTCCTCCTCTCTCAATCATAGAGGCCTCAAATTGACAAAATGGGACACATATTCAATGACAGTACTACAATTGACGTAAGGTTGTATGGATGCGAACCCTGTGCCTTGCGTTGTCTCGAAAATAATACGTTTTTGGGATTAAAAAAGTCTTGCTGTACGCATCAAAATCTTCAAAGCCCAATTTGTCCCGTATCGATCTACAAATTTACCACCGTTCCAGTATTGAAGCCTAGCAAAATGTTTGTATCGACTTTATTTATTTTAGAAAGAAAACAAACGGGGGAGAATACGATTCGCTAATAAACAACTTCTTCTTATTTTATATCTACTTGTATTCATTTATTTTATTTTCAACATGTTTTGTATCTTTTGTAGCCCTGAAGACGACCTGCAAAGTAGATCGTAACGTCGGCAAAAATTAAATAATTACTATCTTTTAATTTAGTATTTATTTGACCGCACCCCCCAATTAACTCCTTCTAAATATTTATTGAATGCATACCATACTGGGCGAATGTTGCGTGAAACCTTGCACACTGCTTCCAGAACCACTTTTGTGTTGTTCTCTCAACTGATTGATAGATTTAAGCATCACTGCTCCTCTGAGCTTGGAGTAAGTTTCAAGGATTTCGGTCCTGCCTTGTGCCAAAAGCCATGCAGCAAGGGAAGCTAGTTCGGACGTTACAGTCTCTGGAAGGCCTGTTGCACTTCCGACAGAGACATCGTCAGAAATATCTGCAAAGAAAATGGTTATTTAAACTTTTCAAAATTACAAAAAGAAGATAAAATGATTTTTTTTTCTAAATTTACCATCATCAGTAGCTACCATATCCAGGAGCGTAATAGGTGGTATCGACCGACTGTGCTTCGTCAAAGTTTCTTTAAATTCACGACACAACTTGTCTGTTCCATCATTGACAAGTGTTGACTAGAAAATATGATAAATTTTTATCAAACTAACAGACAGATACAGAAAAATTATTTTCATTGATTTAAATAGTAAATAAATAATAATTTAATCAAATAATATAGAATCTTAGTCTTACAACATTATCCAACTCGACACTCTGTGGATTATTCTGTTCGAAATAGATTAAAGCATTTTTCAGTTTGTTCATAACATTTATGTACTCATCAAGACCAACAGGCGTAGGGCCTGATCTAACTATACCATCCACTTCTTCAGCGATACTATAATAACTGATGACATGATCGAGGGATGCCAAAGCTCGTTCAATATCTACAAAGGATGAAAAAGGATTAAAAACTGTAGATAAAATTAAACTGACTATATTTCTAGGAATAACTTGGTAAATATCTGTAATAGTTCAGAAGTGTTACATCTGGATGATAGGCCGATTTCATACTGTACGAGGGAATTATTTGAATGTGTCCGATAACACCAATGTTATGTTGCATTGCATTCGTCCCCATTCTTAAAACTCAAAGTATTTATTTTAGGTTAGGATTGATTTCATTGTTTCATTTCAGAAAGTAATAAAGAATAACATTTAGTCATTCTTATTCTTCGATATCCAAATGGTCAATTTTCCAGAATGATAACAAACATATTATTATTAATACAAAAGTAAATAAAAATACATAAAATGTATGGATTCTGTTTATTAATTGTATTTAATCTTGATAATTTTATTTACTAAATTCTGTTGTTACATTATTAAGTTAGTCTTTAATGTATTAATTAAACTGTTTCCCCTATTTCATTACTTTTATTTTAACTGATATTTGACAGTCGAGCACGTTATAGACTATGGATTTTATTCCCACCTAGGTCAGTTAGTATTTATTGATTAGGGACCCTGAGAAATGTATATTGACAATCCCACTTTGGTAAAGACAAGATGACAATCTCTAGGAAGCTGTCGAGGATTGGAAATAAAGAACATAAGGGACACTAACAAAACCAGTGGCAGTAACTTTGTAATTAACGTACTTAAAAAATCGGAAAATACATGAGAGACCATGAATGCCTTTGCTTCGAAACATAAAAATGACGTTTATTTCAATATTGGATAATCAGCATATTAAAATAACATAAAAGTTATTAAAAAAAAAAAATTAATAAGGTTATTGCAAATGACTATGAATAATAGCAATGCAAAAGTAGTTATTAAAAGTAATGTAAGCAATAGCTTTCCAATGACGGATGGAGTTAGGCAAGGGGATGCTCTGTCTGCTACATTATTTAATATTGCACTTAATTATGTGTTGAAAAAACTGGATTCACCTGGTTGCATACTTAACGCAATGGTGCAAATATGTGCTTACGCAGACGATGTATGCCTAATTACCAGGTATTTGAGATTAATAAAAGAAATCTTTGCAATATTGAAAGTCGTAGGTGAAAATGTTGGGCTGAAAATCAATTAAGATAAGACAAAATACATGTATGTCGGAGCCGACAAACAGAGCATTGAAATATGTGGTCTCACCTTTGAGTGTGTCGAAAAATTCATATACCTGGGGGTGGAAGTGAATTCTGAAAATAAAATTGCTGCTGAGGTGTACAAGAGGATCATGGCTGAAAACTGGGTATACTATACCAATCTAAAATTTTTTCGATCATCGCTTCTGTCACGAGAAACAAAGATAAGACTATATAAGTCTCTAGTAAGACCTATTGTGACTTATGCTGCGGAGATATGGATCCTTTGTACTAACACAATTAATATGCTGAATATTTTTGAAAGAAAAATATTGAGAAAAATTTATGGAGCTGTTTGTGAAGAGGGTGTGTGGAGGTATAGAAAAAATGCGGAGCTATATGAATTATAATAGCGCCAACGTATGGAAAGGTTAGGCCAAGTGGTTAGAATGCAGCAGCAGGATGCCTTATAGGGCACCGTTCTCCACAATGTATGGCACAAAAAGAAAGGGAAGACCAAGGAAAAGATGGCTACAAGATGTTAAGAGCGACCTTAGAACCCTGGGTTTGAGGAACTGGAAGGAAAGAGCGAGCAATAGAGACGATTGACATGCTATAATTCAGGAAGCCAAGGCCCACCCTGGGCTGTAGAGCTACACAGTAAGTAAGTAAGTAGTAAGTACATGTTAGTTCACTAACTTATATAGATTAAGGATGGAGATGCAATCGTCACTTCACACTTTCGGACATACTTGACAATTTTCAACATCCTATGTATGCGACTGTCGTGATCTTGATGCATTCATCATCCAGACGTGACACTTTCATACTCTTTTAAAATATAAACTCAAATAAACATTGAAAAAAGTAATAATACTTTGCTGCCTTCTTTGAAGATTTCCAGTCTCATTATAAACAGGGAGAATAGTCTCTTCAAGACGACCGAGCCTCTGTTCAAATGAAGACAAGATACCTGTTATAGAATCAGTTATCTGGTTACTTTTGTTAACATTCTCTCGGAGAATCTTTAACTTATTTCTCTCCTGAAATGAAAATAAAAATAAGAAAGCTGTTGAGTATTAAATCAACTTCATATAATTTTTTTTCTCAGAATATTACTTTTTCCAACTTTCTCTCTATATCGGTTTTCTTATCTATCGGGTCACTCAGTCCACCAGCCATTATTACTTGTACCAGCGTGATATGTATTCACTTTTTTGATTATTTGAAGATAAATTTCCTTATTCGGTGAGAAGAAAGAAAATACATTTTAAATTTCAGAAAGATATAGCAGCATTCTGTAAGCAAAGAAAGTAAACTAAAGACAAAATTAGTGGAAATGAAATTGTTATTTTTAGGCTTATATAAAATTCTACAAGAAGAGAAAGTTTATATACAATTCTGATTTATTATATATTTATAGTTTAGATACAAAGAAAGCTTATATACAATTAAGCAAGAAAAAAAAAGAAGATTGTTGACAACAACATTTGGCTGATAATGAAGTAAAACCGATAATATATCCTCAATCTGTACATTTTTCTATAAATAAATGATTTAAATGGAGAGGCTAGTAGTATATAACACAAATGTAAATAGAACAAACTATAAAAATATCCAATATAGAAAAGAAATATTAACAAAATAATTGTATCCTGTTTAAAGGTTAAGAACAAAATGAATTTTCATCTTTAATACTATAACCAAGTAATATAACCTTTAAATACATCAGCGTAATAATTCATTACCATTTTTATAACAAGATAATTTATAGTATAGGATTTTAAAAAAAATTCATAAATTATTGCCAATACTTCAAACAGTGTTAAACTTTTGACAGAGAATGTACTAGTGCATCAAGCTTAATAAGGACAGATAAAAAATAAACAACCACATGAAGCAGAATACAAGATAATAAAGAAATACATAAAAAGTTAAAAAAAAATATAATACAACTATATTATAAAAATATAAAGTCTATTAAAATAAAATATATCCAAGATTTATTAAAATTTAGATAGTTATTTAACTGAAGAATGTAATGTACAAGCATTGATTGACGGATAATAATTTCTGTGATCATGAACAAAATATAGATATATTTCAGAAATTAGAAAAAAAAAAATTAAACAACAAACCCATTTTATTATAACCTTTATAAAAATCATAGTAAATATCTATTTACCATGAAATATAAAGAAAACACCACTAAAATCATTAAAAAAAATTGTATAGAAATTATTGTAATGTTTTACGTATCCACAACTGTAAAACATATATTGTCTGATTGCAGACAATTAATAGGTACTTTTCTTCCATACTATTTAACAACTTTATTAAATTATTTTATACCTTACATCCCTGAAAAATTTACTTATTTACAACAAATTAATATATATATGGAATAATCTAGAGACATATTCTTTTCCGAAATTGAATATAAGTTTCTAATTTGAATATGCCTTTTCTCGTTTTATTTTAGTATTTTCTTTCACATTCATTCCCTGTTTGGTAAACTTAGTTCTGAAATGTTTACCTACAAACTACGGAGTATGATCTGTTACTGGTATTATATTAAAAACAATTGATATTATACCTCGGCAAACCTACATACATCAACTTTGTTGTCGATTGATGTGAAAAACTTATAAGTAAATAAATGTTTCAAGCAGCTATAGAGTTTTGAGAGTGAAAACTTCTATATCAAATTTCATAAATATCTATTACTAATTATCTTTCACGATTAGAATATGAAAGTACATACAGTTAATTATAATATGCTAAATATTTTACTATATGTATGGTTTAGCAATAAATATATTTCAGATATATAATAATGTTGACATTCGATAAGTAAATGGAGTGACAACACTATAACAAGTAATTATGATAAGATTATGCACAATTGAAAAAAAAAATGTTTCAGAAATATATAAAATAAATACCATTTTTTAACTTTGAATCCCAATTTTTTAAGATAACAGTTAAAAAATTATCTAGCACTGTTACAAACAGCTGAGCGGCTGGCGACGTTGGCGCCCCTAGCGGCGACACGATCCAATCAGTCAGTTTTCGGGTAAACGACTCGTACTGCGGTCGCAACGGTGGGGTTTAGGATTAGTATTTTTTTCCAGTGGAAGAACCGAATATATCTGTCCGCGGGTGTAATTTAAGTTCTTCTTATATCTCTTATCCAGAAAAAGGGTAGGAGTGTCTGGAAGCAGAGGGAAACTTAACCGATCGTGGGTATTTTTTTTTCCGCAGTGTCCGTGTGTTTATGTTGCAGTCCCTCTGAAATGTCTCTGGACGAAGCGTGAACTTGAGGATAACATAATAAACATGTGAGTATTCAATTTATTATAGTATAAATATAATGTGAAAACATTCTTTAATAACGGCTCAAGTTGGCGGTTTAACCTTATCACAATGGTGCCCACGTCTCAGTTTATATTTACAATTTACTATTTTTATAACGTAATTTATGATAATTTTATTGCAATGTTGTATACATTCAATGTATGCTTTCCTTGAGGCTCTGTTTACAAATATTCAGGCGTGATTTTCAAGGTAAGATCTGTCCGCCTTTATTTTTGCCTGTACCGCCAATTATTATCGAGACCATATCCCACCAGTATTATTTTACCTCATAGATATCTCGCATGTTAATTAATGCATGCTCTGTTTGTTTTCTTCACGTTATACCGCATATTCTTTTTATATATAAATTTTTTTTATAGTGGTATAATAATTAAAGTTGTGTCTTAATCTAGTTGAATCAATTATACACACCGTTAATTGCCATTTTTTTTTATTTCAATATATACTAGTAGAGGATTATCCTTATCATGTACATTTATTTATATTTGTAGTTATATTATTTATAAGTATTTATTTTTTGTAAGATATGATTATGATAGAGGGATTGGCAGGTGGTATTTAAAGTTTAAATGTCCGCCTGTTGTCCTGTGAGATCGTGGCCGAAAGTCGGTTGCAGTGCAGATTCCGTTATTCCCCCATCTCCCCTCCTTTCCTGGACCCGGAATATCCCCCTCCTCGCCGATGTTTAAAATACTTGCTGTATTTGCTGCAAGGAGGCGACTTTCCAAGCAAGAGCTGCCAGTTTCTCCTTGTGCCGACTGTACTAATCGATATGCCCCACCCCTAGCAAGTCCGGAGAGCCAGTGTGGGCCAGCCTGGTCCCATGGAGGAACTTCTTATGATTAATTATAATATTAATATATATATATATATATATATATATATATATATATATATATATATATATATATATAGAGAGAGAGAGAGAGAGAGAGAGAGAGAGATAAATTATATCAAATAAAATGTTCACATATCATTCAAGTATGTACTTATTTTCAAAAATTATAATTTAGAAAAAAATTGTTTTTCTATTTAACTTATTTATTGAAAAATATTACAATCTGTCTCAAAGGACATTTATAATAGTGTTCATAGATCACGTTCACACTCTTATGTACAATAAATAAAATAAATTATACAGAAAAATAATATACAGTAAATAAGAATAAAATAACCAAGAAAAAAAATTATTAATTAAAAACAATTCTGTGGAATTTTTTCTAGCTTTATTTTATTTATTTATTTTGGATAAAAAATGGTCAGGCTGTGTTTCTGTATTGGGTTTTCCGGCGTATCGATCCAAATATGTGGTCTGTCATCAAGTCTCAAAATTAAAAAAATAAAAATAAAAATTATAAACCTATTTTTTTTTCTCCCTACGCCCCAGGAATTTATTTACTATACAAAATACAATATATAAATACATAAAGAAATATATATACAAAAATTTATAATTTCCTTTTATTGACCAAGGGCATTTTAAGGTAAAAGGGCTCTGCACGCTGTATGCGTACTTTGCATCTGTGGCCAGAGGCCTTTTATTATACCACTGGGCGTGGAGGGACCGCCCTGCAAAAATTATAAACCTAAAAGTACATATTTATATTTATTTTTATTCTTCGTTTTATTTTCTTCGAGCAGCTCAGTCGGAAACCCCAGGTTCGTATCCGACAAGTAATTTTTCATCAACCGTGGATCGAATCTGGAGTCGGGAGTCCCTCTTTAGGCACACCCAGTCTCCATGAGTGGACACTTTTAATGAAATAATTAAGAGGAAAATCCTGACAGTTAGGCGTTATCCCGTCCCGATCACCTCAGTACAACTATTGGCCTTGAAACAGTATTTACGAAGTACTGAACCCAAGATCTTTCATGGGTTTTAGTGATACAGATTTTTTTTTTTGTTTTTCTTCTCTTATAATTTTATATTTAACATTTTTCAGATGATTTTTTTTTTTTTTAGCCCTGATTATGACCCACATGTCAGGGTCGAAACGTCAGCAAAATCAATAATGAATTTTTTATAAATGCTCACTCTGACCATTTTTCATCCTTGTAATTTATTTACTCTACCTGATCAGTGATGAATAACAACGCATGCGAACTTATCACATATATTTATACCATTTTTATGGCTAAGAAGTTGGTTGGAGGTTGTAGTGACAAATAAGAATTAAAAAAAAAAAAATTATTTTGTTCTGAAGTTTCGCATTACCTCCTCCAAACGAAGAGAAGCTCTGATGAAGTCCTGAAACTTAGGCCGAAACATCGTCACAATATACAGGGGTGTCCCATAAGTAGAAGAAAATATTTAAAAGGTTGATAGTAGGCATGAAGAACTACAAAAAAGTTCATATGAAAAATATTATCTACGAATATACAGTTTCTAATTCTGCCTTGCTTTGTTTTTAAGGCAAGGTGAGCAATAAAATAACTTGGGTGGAGGGGGGGGGGTTAGGTTTTTGCACCATCGACCTTGGGGAAAGGGATGGGCATCCCTGGACATAATTGAAAAATACACAATTGTTTAGAATAAGTTAAGTTAAGAATAATTTCTATTAAAAACGAATTCTTACTAATAATAATTTAAACAAAGCTATGCCTTGGATAAAATAAGGATTCCAATTATTATGAAAATGATTCCATAAGTGAAGACAGATCTAATAATGTTTTCAATTCCAATATCATCTGACCCGCCCCACCCATAATTAAGTTATGGACTATTTACCTTCTGCAGTATGGCTCACTCAATTCTTTCTGTTTTAATATCTAGTTAGCCACTGGTCTCTATGAGGTTTACTTCATTCTCTGTCCGTTATTATTTAAATCTATATTTTTTTACTTAAAAAATATAATATAAGTTCTAACGTGCTAAGTTTCTAAGTTAATTTAAAATATATATAATCATTCAAATTTAAATTTGTTAAATAAAAAAATTAAGTAGTTAACAATAAATAAATCTTTTTTTTAATACATATTTTGAGTTTCATACAATTAATAAAAATTTTATTTAATCTTAGTACTAGGTAATTCTTTAATTTCTAAAGAGATAATTTTATTTTAAAAAAAATATAAATGTTAACATATTATAAATAACTTGGTTAAATCATATTTATTTAGATGTATATAAAACAATGATCATTATATCTAGTTCGAATATTGAAATATATTTTGATATCTTATTTTATTTCCAATATATTAATTTTAAAAAAAAATTGAGCAGTAAGTCGTGTTACACCGTTTTATTTATTGCAGTTGAGTATGGAATAAAACCGAATATTACCAGTTTTTTCAATCACTGTTTTAGACTTGGCGGTAACAGCATTGCTCTCAGCCAATCAGAAGCCAGTATACTCTGTAGTCAAATTAGCTTCCCTAACACAACTGTTTCTCTATTTCGAATTAGATTCATTCTGGTGCGGTACGGATGTTATCAAGTTGTGAAGTTCATTTCAAATGTGTAAAAAGTTTTATAAATGTTAAAATAGTGATTTATTTAAGTTCCTGCAGTGATTGTTTCATTGTTTTCTTCTTTTCCTTTCGAAATATGTTTGTTTTAAAGATAGTGTTAAAGTGTGAAGTGAACTTCCAAAAGGCCATATTGGAACTTTCAACTGTGAGTAATGAATTTTTAATAATGCTTGCCAATTTTAATTTCTTCATGAAAATGTCCATTTTTCATGAACAAATGAAATTTATTCAACTATTCCCCTAAAAAAATATATAAAGTAGTAAGTATTACTCTCACTTACCTACTTTTTAATTTATTGCCAATATAAAAATAATTAAATGTATATTACTATAAGTGGTTTGTGCCCATGGTCTTATCATTGGGAGCATTAATTTTTCAAAAAGAAATGTGGGGCATCAATTGTTTTTATTTATATATTTTAATAATCTGTGAATTTTTTAATGAAACCTCTTTTCAAATATAATTTTATTATATTTATTAAATAACAATTTTATTATATATTCAATACTTTATGTATATATATATATATATATATATATATATATATATATATTATATATATATTAATTTTAGCAAGGGAATCTCATAAATCTCGATGAATTAAAAATATTACAATTAAATGTGAGATATAAGTTTGACTTTTTCTTAAGATATAGTTAGCAGTGATTATAGCGAAATTAAGAGACCACCAATTTGACAGTGGAAAATTACGAACTTCGTACCTTGCTTCTTAAAGCCTACTGTTTATTTATTTTAAAATTGTTCTTGTAAAATTATGCTACGTGGCTTTCATTTTTATTAATAAAAGTAGTTCTATATACATATTTTATCGAATAGGGGATCTAAACTTGTATAATAATAATTTGTGAGAAAGATCATGTAAAATTTAGTATCATTTTTTTCTATTTAACAATAATTCTTTTTAAAACATATATAGATATATACGTCCGTACAAATTATTTCCTAATGCAGGGGCTCCCAATATTTTTTCGGCAACGGACACATTTATAGGTTATTTCTCGAATTATTATTATTAATAATTTTATATCTCTTGGTCCCGTGATTTCCCAATGTAGACATATCATTAGGGCGCTACCATTGGGTAGTTTCTCAACTAGTGTTTTCACGTCATTATATCCATTTAATTTACTAAATGTATTTCTTTAATACGGTTGTAAATATCATTAAGAAATTATATAATTATATCTAAACTTTTCTATCTGCAGCATGCCACGTAAAACAATTATGTTGATTTAAAAATAAAAAATAAATTACAAATTTCAAAGTGATCATTTATACTTATAACTAATTATACGGACTTGAACTGTGGGGGACAGCAAAATTTTCTAACTTCAAACGCATTCAGTCGAACAATAGTTGATGCTCCATTCTATGGAACCAACAAAACCCTACACCATGATCTTAATATCTCATTTGTCCTAGACCTTTTCCAAGAAAAAGTTCTCCACATTTCACCAGAACCTTATCTAT